CATCCAATTTGTGCCCCTGACACAAAACCCAAGTGCAGAAAGCACAAAAAATATTCTGCTGCAATAAATAAACAGCAGAATTAAAAATGTTAGTATTTATTTTGCATCTGTATGAGTCATAGAAGTTATTAATTCAACCTTATGGCTAAAATCTTATCATATAACTAAAAAATAACCAAAAATTTCCCAGTAGTACAAAGAAAAAGTACAAAATATCCACTTTACATTGAACAATAAGTCGATATAGTAAATATTGTGACAGGCCTATTTACATGTATGATGTACAGTTATAATACTACAATCTTGTGATTTTTATAACCACAAAACTTGATGCCGGAGCACTTAGTAGTCCACAAAAGACAGACAACTCTCAGTGAGGGATAAAACTAAGAGCCACTTCAAAGCAATACTTTTGTGCAGGATATTGAGTTGTGTAAGTTTGAGGCTAAAACAAAATCAATATTGGATCGCATTTACACAAGACCTATTGCTTGGAAACTGTACATTTCCAAAGAATAAGCTAATAATTCTGTCATTTTTATCCAACACACTGCTTATTGCCCATGCCTTTCATGTGCTTTAGAAAAGTAGTTGTCATATCAGCTCGTCTCTCATGTGTGCAGTAGGTGTGTGTAGGTCAATGTTAGTGCAGAGAGCAGTGGGTGGATTTGCAGAGACACTTTTTACCACACTTTTGAACTTTGTGGAGGTGTTGTGCCCTTTTACAGTTTAAGACTTTGTGCCTTGTGGATATTACAGCCAGGAAACTGTAGTGGTTTTGGCAGATCTTTCTCTGTTATGATGTCAAGCTCTTGTTCAAGCCTCCAGTCAAGCACATTTCATGAAGCATTTTCATTTTGTATATGTTACCAAAGCATGAGAAATAAAGTAATCATAATTTGACTACATTTAGTACTTTACTGTGTTCATGATAAATTCTTTATACATGTGTAAGTAGGTAATACCCCTAGCCACTGTTACTAAGATTATGGTGCAACAGTAGTTCAGTCAATGTGATCCAACAGACAGTGGTTCAAAGCAAAGAATTGCATTGTAAATATTTTTGTCAATACGTAGTGTTAAAGGTGTAACTTTTCTGATGGAGGGTCTGTCAGATTCTTTTCTCAAGTTTCTATATTCGTGCTTTATGGAGACCAAAGCAGATCAAATTACAAGTCAGACCTGTTGAGAAATAACCCTGTTCACTGTCAGAATGCCCGTTTTTGTAGATATTTTTAAGCCGTAAGACTTAGTAAATGTAAAGTAGACATGTTTAATGTCATACTGTGGGACATTCCAGGCAAGGGAATGGCATCTTCATAGAAACAAGCAAAAGTTACATAGTGCACTTTTAAGTAAGTTACTCCAAGGTGTATTTACTTAGCTACTTTGCCTCTATAAATTAAGTCATTTAGCAAAAAGATGAACGGACACAGTAGGACCCTTTTTGGACCCTTTCACATTTGGCTCTGTTCAAAAGTGGCAGGGTTTGGATGCTGCTCAAGGGCTGCCAATTGACGATCAGTGCCCACTGGTCTGAATGCTGCTGATTTCCTGCCACCATTTCTTTTTTTCAGTAGTTTCTGTGTAGCTTCATGAGTCACCGTAATGCAAAAGCTTTCAGGTTCTTGCCAATAGGAAAGTCACTGCAGCTGAGTGGACTTTTCACTTTCCACTTCTGTGTTCCACCATCTCACTTCATTCCAAATATGAATGTGCAGGTTTATTTGAGATAGCGTCACTGTTTTTCTTTGTTTGAAACCACAATATCAAACGTCACACAATATTACTAACATACAGTTATATTAGCTCCCATTTGAAATGCATTGTTTTGTTGCTACAGCTCAATAAAAAGCAGGGTAAATACAAAAGAAAATTGTCAAAAGTGTATCTATGGCGTTTGCAGTAAACTCAAAGTTTTTCATTTTTGAATAAATTGTACTAGAGATTGGCCCTGAACCAATAGAGCTCAAACAAGAAATAGACTCTTCCATGGCTGACAAGTTTACAATAGCTGCTCACACAGCCTGGTACTGACATAAACATTGTATCTCATTCATTTTTATAGGAGAGCAAAATAAAAACATTAAATTGTATGTTTTTAGACTTCACATACAAAGAGTTGCTGTCTGTAAATGTGTTACATTTGCCAACAAGTACTAACAATCAAGATTTGACTTTCAGCTCCATTATCTTTCTATGTGAAAGTTTACATACTGTATATGCAGTTTTTTTTAATCTATGTTATAGTCTTGTTTCCTCATCAAAACATATCTGGAGTTGTGTTTTGTTTCATTTACACATGTTCAACACACAAATTCTGCATATTTAGGCCAAGTTCCTTTCTCAAATAGAAAACACTCTGTTCCAACTTGTGATGTCATGTGGTAATTTAGGAAATGCGTTTTTAAACTCCATACGCCTTCATTTCATCTCTGCCAATCTCTACTGAACTAAATGGTAAAAGGTAACTGCAAACTCTCAATACATTACATCACAAGGTCGAACAAGACATTTTGAGCTTTAGAGACAGACAGGAGACAGACTAATAAAGGGTTAAACATGTGTGAATGAAACAAAACACAACTCCAGGTCAATTTTTGGCAACATAATAATAGTATAACATTGCATAAAGATCACAAAAGTCAGTTTTGTGTAATATGGGACCTTAAATAAAACAAAAACTAATATTCATGCCTGATCTGTCTGAGCCAGTTTGAGCTCAAACATACCAGCATCGTATCTGCACAACAAAAAGACTGAATTGAAAGAAGTTGGTTGTCAAAACTTTTTTTATCACTGTGATCTTAATACAGTATTTACTTGCAGTCTACACATACATGCTTTAAGGTTGGTTTACGGAGCTGTGTAGCATCAGGGCGTCTCTGCTCCTAGAGACTATTTAACCAGGGAGGCAACAGTAAACACAGCTGACCTTATCTTGGAGATGGGTCTGGGTCACCAAAGCACACCAGGATTTATTCAAGTTATATGTTCCCTACAATTTCAGCATCACCACCAGACCAATTTTGTTTCATTTTATCTAAAGGGGAATACCACATGTGTGTAATGTAAGCCATTTTTACTCCACTCAAAGATACTGCCAAGAAAGCAAATCATTAGAAAGCCAGCCGTAGTTTAATGCTTAACTCATCACATTCTCTTCTTGTTCATTCATAATACATGCAATCTGGGTATCTAACAGAATAATGTATATTGTGATTGCATGCAGGTTTGTGAATGTTTTGTTTGATTTTCACCTAGATATTAATCTTAATTTAACTTAACTTGAAAAATGTAAGACTTAACTTTGATATCAACACTTGTGTACTTTAAACAGCGGCATTGACAAGTTAACATGGGCCAATTACATTACATGTAATTACATTAGTTCATAAAATTTAACATGCAAACATGCACATGGTTTATCTCTGCTTATATATTAAATTATATGCATCATGAGTATTTGGTACATGGTGGACCAAGCAGCAGTGAAACAATGCCAGAACAGTGCTAAAATAGTAAACTAGATCACCCCCTACTGGTCATAACCAGAAGTTCATTTTCCCCTTTCACTCTTTTTTTTTTAGAAAACTCCTTTTCTAATATAATTATGTGCCTATGCCATTTAGTGTTGACAGTAAAGTTAGAATTCAGTGTACAACTTTCCTTATACTGTGCAATTGCTTTGAATCTTTTTTCTCATCTATTTTGTTGTATGTTTCAAAAGTTAGGCAGTCTTAAATATGCATCTTGGTAGTCTCCTGAAATACATGTAATTGTGTATAAAAAGGTAATTCAAGCATATCAGTTTATGGCACTATGCTGGTTATGGTATATGATTTATTGCAAATGCACCATATACTTGAATAATACTTTGCTTTTTGGATAATAAAATAATACTCAGTGTCTTTTTTAGTTTGTCTCTATCATGTCCACGCACAGTGAGCCTTTTATAACACTGGGTTTAGTGAGAAAGCTGAAGGCTGCCAGCTCAGGAATGTTCAATATCTTCCCACACCTAAGTATTCTCTCTCTCACTTCTTCCTTTCACTCTCTGTGTATGTGATTTCATGTAACTGTGCACTTTCCAAGCATCGCTCAATAAAAGGCCAACTACTTTTTACTCTGATGCTACAAAAGCTAAATTTAACTAGAGTCCATTAGGAAGAGAATCTTGTGATTACTTCTTTTTCTTTTGTACTGCACATGCATATGATTCTATGAACTGTAGCTTAGTGAAAACAGTATTGTAATCACAAACAGGTGAGCTAAAGAACACAAACTTTAAGGCACCACAAGAAATGAATATTTTGTCTTCCAAATTTAACTGTTCCCTAATTTATTTTGTGTTCTTTTGAATTATTTACTATAAAATTAAAGGTGAAAACAATTGTTGTTGTTTTTTTATTTTATTTTATTTTTTGTGCTTATAAGTAAAGCATGCTTAGATCTTTGGTAGTCACTTCAGTGTGACATTGACTTGCTCCTGACAGTCCATCTTCATGGATCTTCATGGAGTCAGGAGTCCTATTTGTGCCAACATCAGATAAGACATTATGTCTGTAGTCTTATACTCTGCTCTTGTTTAATGAATGACAGAGCCACATGAGGTTAGTTGTGAGATGCAGCTGCTTGTCTGCTCTCTACAGGGAAGCCTGGTATTGATAACCACAGAGTATGTGCATGTGTGCAATGTCCATAGGTGAAGGCTCACCGTGCTGTGTTTGTATACTAAGATGAGAAGCCTGCCTAATCCAAGTTTATTTTTATAAAGACTTTTTAAATTCATTATGACATGTATGTTGATTTTACAATATGTTTTTTGTTTTTTAATTAGTCACTATCCTCTTATGAAGAAAAATGTTTATTTTCTTATTGTATTATTGTGTGTATATGTTGTAAATTATACAGATGCTTATTCTTCAGGCATTGCCAGGTACACAGCAGTGCCATGTAAAAACAAACAAATACAACAAACATGTTCTCTACCTTTTCAGTTGGCGAGGGCAAGAACCTCATTCCCATGGACCCCAATGGACTTTCAGATCCATATGTTAAACTCAAACTCATACCAGACCCCAAAAATGAGACCAAGCAGAAGACCAAAACCATCCGCTCTAACCTCAATCCCAAATGGAATGAGACGTTCACTTTGTAAGCCTCTCTTGTATTAGTCCGTATTACATTATTTCAAAGATTTTTTTAAAGAAATGAATTGCCATAATACTTCATTGATATTATTGTGTTAAAACTATATTATGAATATAACTTGCAGTAAACTGAAGCCATCAGATAAGGACCGCAGACTCTCTGTAGAAGTGTGGGACTGGGACCGAACCACCAGGAATGACTTTATGGGATCCCTGTCTTTTGGAGTCTCAGAGCTCTTGAAGTCTCCAGTCTGTGGCTGGTAAGGTTCTTTATGTGTAATAAAGGCCATATTCTTATTTTAACATCTGCATTTAAAATACACATATGACCTACCCATACTATTGCATATATTAAACCCCATAACAACATTATTTTCATTGCTTACGAGCTGATACCCTCTCCAACTTCCCCTTTCCTTTCACCCTTTCCCTTTTTACCCCATAATTAATCACACCTCTCACTGTGAAATAAACACAGGGCTAAATTTGGACGATTGCTCTGGGCCATAGACTTACGTGGTACTAACACATGTCACACCAGCTAAGATTGTTGATTAATTATAGTTTATTGACTTCTTTAATGCTTTCTTGTGTTTCAGGTATAAGTTATTGTGCCAGGAGGAGGGCGAGTATTACAATGTTCCAATCTCTGAGGAAGACGATGGAAATGAGGAACTTAGGCAGAAATTTGAGGTGAGCTATATATTTTACTGACTAACCAGAGAGCTAATATATTGCAAATTAGGAGGAAATTATTTTTTCCCTTTCGTTTGATAGAGAATCAGGATGGAGTTACAAAACCATGCAGATTTAATACATGCTAACAAATCCATAAATCCATAATTTGGCAATATAGGCCAAACACGTTGTTCACTCAATGCCTTTTCCCTGTCCACACTGTTGTTTAGCCTCTGGACAGTGTGCTGTTTGTCTTGTTTCCCCTTGCTCTTCAGAATCTTTTTATTGTGCATTTTTTCTCCACCTAGTGTTTCATAGTTATATTTAACCCAAGAGTTTCTTTTCCTCTTGCCCCTGCTCTCAGGACTGCCAAATAAACCTAAATCTAAAGGTAGCCCTCTCCTCCCCTCTTCTCTGCCCTTGTCCTGTTGTGTTCTGTCCTGTTGTGGTGCCATACTTGTACGCAACATTTATCATTTACTAACAATTTGCAAAGCAAAAAAAGTCACTTTAAGCATGATATATTTTATTTACTAATACATGTAATAAGTAGTATAACTATTATCTATGTGAATACTTTTTTTTTACATCTCTTAAAACTAAATTATACATTTACCACTATGCATATGCGTATAAGTGAGCTAAATGGTCTTACGACCAAAAGGATTGTTAGTAAACGTTCACACTGTGTGTGTCTATGTCTACATGTCTGCATGTTTGTCTTGTCTTGTATTCTGTTTTTCTCTATGGGACACTTTTACTGTAAAAGAGCAGGCATTTTGTTAAATTGAACACTAGGTGTCAGCAGACCATAATATAATGCAAGTATACCATATCTGATGCCTTTGACAGACCTTGTTATTTATGTAAAGACATCTATGCCTAAGTGTATTCCTTGAGTCAGGGAGTTCTTCTATGGTTCCAGGACCAAACAGTTGTGGAGAGACCTGAACAGGTGTGTCTGACAGGGAGGAAGTAAGAGTGTTGCTCTGTGCCTCAGCCAGGCCTGTCATTGGCTATAGCTTAAGGAGTGCTGTGATCTGCTGCGGCTGCTTTGCATCTACCTCAGGTCTCCACTGAGAGACATTAACCAGACTAAGGCTCAGCACTGGATGTGTACTCCCAAGCACACTGGAGACACTTACCATGCACTTCTAACAGATGTGTTGAAATAATAGAAGTTGATATCGGTGTTAAGCTGAAGTAGATATAGTAAAAGAGGCTACTGTTTGTCTTTGCTGAATTTCATTCAGTTATTTTGCATCTTGTTCTTTGCATTTTAGCATGTGGGTGGCACGAGAACATAAAATAATCTGTGATATGTGTAAACAAAACGTAAACTATAATATGAATGGCTCTATGAGTAAACAGTTTCTACATTGTAGTTAGCTGGAATTAGTTTGACTTGACTATAGGACATTTTGCAGTTATTATTTCAGTAAAAAAAAATTGCCACTGTTCATATTTTAATCTACTCATATTTTTAACAAATTATTATTATATTTTTTGTATGGTGCTGTCACCTTTTGATACATTTTATTCTGTCCCATTTTGCCTCTTGGCTCGCTGGCAGGCTGGGGCATTGTGGTTATGAATGGGAAAATATTGAATATAGATGTGCACAGAAACTTTGATTGCGTCAGAGGGAATAATGTACACACATGTTAAGTCTTTCCCGTGAATGAAAACGGAAGCTTTGTGTTAAATTGTTCACTATAAGTATATATGTAATAAAACTCCTCATCTTCAGACTCCTTACATCTTTCATCTTGTGTGCCCTGAGAGCAGAAAGCCAAGCTGGGCCCAGGAAAGAAGAACATTTCAGAGACTGACTCCTCCGTCCAGCTGCCCTCCACCATAATGGACCAGGTCAAACTCAGTGATTTCTCCTTCCTCGCTGTGCTGGGGAAAGGAAGCTTTGGCAAGGTGGGTGCACTATACTATTACCTCAGACTGTTCATGTCTTCCATTTTTTAAATTCTGTATTGTGCAAAAATAAATATTTTATGTAAATTCATGCTATTACTTTCTTCTACCACTCAAAATCATATTTGTAGTAAGTTGTATTATTCAGACAATATCTATAGTATTCCCTCTGGTGAAGTTTCCTTCCTATTCCTAGTTTGACAGAAGTCTGTTAAAGTAATAGGAAAAGATATGATCATTCCTCACTGTCATCAGCAGAGGGCAACACAAACCTAATTCAAAAAGAATGTGAAAGAGCAAGTGCCAGATTGTAGATGTATTGAAGAATATATCTTTCATACATATTATTTCAAGTAAAGCTGTTCCTCTCAATACAATACTTTAAAATCAAGTCTATTTAAGCTTTAAAATCTTCATTCTTTGTGTATTCAGGTGATGTTGGCAGAGATGAAGGGAACAGATGAGTTGTATGCCATAAAGATCCTGAAGAAAGATGTGGTGATTCAGGATGATGATGTTGAGTGTACCATGGTGGAGAAGAGGGTCTTAGCCCTCCAAGACAAGCCGCCCTTCCTCACATACCTGCACTCGTGCTTCCAGACAGTGGTGAGTGAACAGACCCTTGGGTTTACTATATAAGGACTCTGTAGAACAGGTCAGCTCTATTAGCCCAAACATTTGGTATCAGAATACTGTATTCACTTTCCTGTCATGGACACAGGATGTTTGAACATTCAGAACATAGAATATACAGTTTTTACATAGTCATTACTATGGCAATGGTCCTAATTCTTCATCACTCTGAAACTCTTGGATAGCTATTGTGGGTAATCCTAGATCTCTAACAACATGGCACAAACACAGTGTACAACATTTCTTCATCAGTTAAAGGAGCACTGTCCAACTTTTCTGATGGGGAATTGTAAAAAGTAAAATATGTTTATCTCTCTGTCTTTACATTCCTCGTCAACAGGATCGGCTGTACTTTGTTATGGAATATGTAAATGGTGGAGATTTGATGTACCATATACAACAAGTGGGCAAATTTAAGGAACCTCAGGCAGTGTAAGTGATGAATTTTCATGTTTTGATTCTGTTTTAGGAGTGGTTTTGTGGCCTTTTTCACATCTTTACAGTGCCCTGATGGTTTGCTTGTTATTTCAGGTTCTATGCAGCAGAGATTGCTGTTGGTCTCTTTTTTCTTCACAGTAAAGGGATCATCTACAGGTGAAGATTTTTGAGTATTCCTATCTGCATTTTTATTATCATAATGTGAAATAATATGATAATTTTTTTTTTATTTACTTAAGGCTTATAGATCAATTGACGCAATAATGTTTATTGCATTTATCTTGAGTATACATTTAATTTATAATAAGTTATATATTTTAATTGTCGAACATTGATGAAGTGGCACTAAACAAGGGTAAGAGGAATGTATAAATATTGCATCATTTATCAAATTGAAAAAAACATAGTTCTGAAATGAGAAGAAAATATTGTTTTTGTTTTATGTGGTCTAAACATACAGAAGAGCTCTAGCAGGTGTACCACAATATGACTGTTGGCATCCTGTTGAAAGAGTTGTGGTTTTAACATTACCCAAGCTAAATTTAAATCTGTATTTGTGTCTTCAGGGATCTCAAGTTAGACAATGTGATGCTCGACTCCGAGGGGCACATCAAGATTGCAGACTTTGGCATGTGCAAAGAGAACATGATGGACGGAGTGACCACACGCACCTTCTGTGGCACCCCCGACTACATTGCCCCAGAGGTACGTGCTCTTTTCTAATGTTCAGAGTTTACATGTTCTGGTGCCAGGATTGGGCTTTTCGCTGTCATGTCTGGGTTCTGTCACCCTTGTCCTGCTCAAAATACAGGTCAGTGCCCCAGGACCAAAAATAAATAAATAAAAAGCAGGGGTGATATAAGTCTTTAGACAGACATATCTAAACTTAACCAAGCACAATATAGGCCTCCTGCCTTATTCCCTGAGGCACAGTCAGATTCAATGTTTTCCTTTTAGACACATTGAGCAAGTGGTAAACTAACTGCATAAAATATACATTAAATGTGGATGGAAAAAAGCAGACGAGTAAAGCAATGTTTTATGCATAGATGCTAAAAGTGTTTGAGCTCTTCTGTACACAATTTCACTCATTAGACTCGTTAGCTTAGTGCAATGTTTCAGGTTTGAAGTGCTCATATTGGTAGAAAATGTTGAGACATATCAATCCGGCAATAATTGTCAGTTTGAAGGTTCTGATCTGAGAAGCTAAAATTTATACTGCTCTGAGCTATAGTTCTTAGATAAGTACTAACTTAAGCTCTGCCTGCTCTAAAAAGAAAGAAAAAACTGTGTCCCAGTATTTACCTTTGGCCCTTTTTTTACCATGGGTTTTACCTAGAAGAATGAGGAATTACACAATCTCTTGTATTTAGTTTTATTTTCTGAACTGTTTTAAACATAAAAATAGAATTGCTGATTGATTTATCAATCACTTATCATGCTGTGATCACCATGAATTCACACTAATGTAGCTGCTGCCAATGTCTCAGCAGGGGCTTATGGGAGGACATAGTTTCCGCAGTGATGAGGCGTTGAGCTTTACACATTTATGACTGTCCTCTAGGTCAGGAAAGCTTAGCTAGTCCTGGTCAGTAAAGACACATGATGCCCTTGGAAAATATGACTTAATATGACCTAAATTTTCAGTCTTTCTTAAATGTGATCCACAACTTGCCTGTCTCTGTGGGGATGTTATTTCTTTCCCTGGAATGTTCCACAGTAGGGCTTTAAACATATCTCCCTAGCATTTATTCAATTACTGGTGTTTTATAACTCAAAAATATTTCTCTATAGACCTGACCATTAATCTGTCTCCATTGCTATTACCAAGTTTATTTCCATACTATGGAGTAATGAAGGCAAAACAGTAATATCTCCATGGAGACAAGCAGGTGGTGGACCCTATTCCAGAAAAGTCACATAGTGCACCCACAGAAAGAGTTAGCAAACTTTATATATAAATGTAAGATAGTCAAAGTGAAACACAGATGACAACGCTGCAACTTCATCTTGTCAGATTTTAGGACCTATTTGGAGTATTTTGGAGGACATGATTTTTGTTGTAGTTCTCAAGTTGTTTTTTTTTTTTTTCACAAAGTTATTTCACCACTAGGAATAGCAGCCCTTCGTGATCACAGTGTTGCTACTTTGGTACATGCTTTGATGATGTGAGAGCAGGTGAGAAAGAGAAACTGAGAGACACAGACACGTACACTGCAGCCCCAAACAGGTCTGATAAATGAACCAAGCTTTCTGTGCTAATGGAAGTTTGTTTTTAGTCTGCCCAGTATTGAAGGGCATTTGTTTTAAACCATTGTACTATAAGATTAGAAGTAGAAGTTAGCCTCTTTGGAGTTTTATAGCTTTAAAAATGTCTTAAAAATATACAGTGCTAATTGTTAGAATTAGCTTTTTACCCCCCCACAGGCTGTTATCAGTAATCCAGAATAATAACTGCAAGAATGTGGAGATGCTTTACAATGCAAAATGTAAATGAAAAATCATACAGAGAAGTAAATATCAAAGTAAGTTATTTGAGAAGCATAAAGATTCTCAAGATTTCTGGAGTGCGCAGGATATTGTTTGAAATAGTGATCTTTGAAACACTAAGCCGCTGTTGGAAATGACAGCTAAGACATTAAATTATCCTTATTTGTTTGGACATTTTCTTGAATAAGATGCACTATTGTCCTTTTAAATAACTCCTTGACTTCATGTAAAGGTGCAGCTTATTCTATAGTTCCAGATTCATGACTGATATGAAGTGCTTAAACCAACCACAGCAGTGAATAATAGACCTGTCATGATCATTACTATATCAACTTAACGTTCAATATATGAGAGCTGGAACTATATATTTTGTGTTTCTTTGCAATAGTAGAGAGATTTTAGCCATTTTTATGTAAGACAATAAGATTTGAGCCATAGAAGGTTGAATCAATAACTTGACTGTGAGTAATTGGTTCATTCTGCTATTTACTTATTACTCTTCGTGCCTTGAGCAGAGTTGTTTATTTTTCTCACTGATTATGTGCAGTTTGAAGCCTAAATTACATAACCAAATACCTCAATGTATTCTTTTGATTTTAGAAAAGTAACTATATTCTAAATACCACCAAATTAACTCAAAATGTATATTCAGAATACGTATTCTCTGTACAATTATTCAGTTATTTCCCAACACTGCTAGTGAATAGTGGAAACTCCTTCAAAACAGCCCACAGCAACATGCCCTTGTTCACACTGGTTCTGCAGGGATTGTGGGACATCACTGTGAAACCTGCTACAGTTTTGGTAAATATTCTGCTATGCACTATACCGGCATGTTTATTTTATAGCTTTGTCTATGAACAGCGGTCGGCACATGTGTACATTGTATGGGAAAGGAGTGCAGCCTGGAATAGCTAACAGTCTGATCCAGAACTGTCATGTAATATTAGGCAAAGTGGAAGAGAAATGTCTGCTGTAATGCCCTTGCCCACAAATCCATAAGGCAACACTCAAGCATTAGCCACTAGCACAGGTACACAAATAGGTTTTTCTTTTGAGTTGCCTAAGCACAAGACCTGTCATAATAATTACTGACAGATGCAACAATATTTTTTGCTGTCAGTTTATCATGTGTACATTGTCTTTGCACTGCTGGGAAATTTCAGGTTCATTTTTGGCTATATAAGATTTGAGCTAAGTACTAAAGTCTTTCATTCTGCTGTTTCTTTGTTTTATTAACAATATTGTAGATTGTCTAGAATAGTTGTGATTTTAATCTTAAATTAGATTCAAATTTATTGTTTAAAGTCTATCATTCTTTCAGCAATATATCACGCTTCAAAAATTGTTATCATGACAGGCCTACGAACCACTTATAAAACCATATTCATTTTTTTAGGCAAATATGTGAACAGTGCACACAGTGTTTTGGTTGAGTGATTCAGTGGAGCCTCTCTGGCCAGAGGCTTTCCCACAGTAAAGTCCAAATAAAAGCATGCAAGAGCAGGGAACGTGTATACAAAATAGGCAGAAGGAGGAGTTGAGAAAAAGAGAAAAAAATTAATGAAAACAAACAAACAACAATTATTTTAAATCATGTCAAACAAAATAAGACAAAAAAAAGAAAGAATTTAAGTAAGTATGTAGAAAATCTATTCTATCAAATCTATTACAGTAATATACAGTAAAAAAGAGGGAACTACAGAGAACTACATGGCAAAATAACTGTTATTTAGGATTTTTAAATCTTAATTTCTACTTCTGTTCTGACCTTAGTAATTAACACTAAGTTCTTGTCAAGACATTTAAAAAGGAAAAAATTGCATTTCTACAACTCGTATATAAATATATGAAAAGACTTTGAAGCACAATTTAGTTTAAAATTCATATAAATTGCAAAAATCTAAGCTATATTTGGTACTTTGGTTTAAAGACTTGAAATGACTTGAAGCTCAAAGCAGATGACTTGGACTTGACTTAGACTTATGGGCCAGTGACTCAAGACTCAGTTTGGACTTGCCCGTCTTTGACTTGGGACTTGACTCGGACTTGAGGTCAAAGACTTGCGACTTACTTGAGACTTGTAAAACAAGGACTTAGGCAAGGCAAGGCAAAGCAAGTTTATTTGTATAGCACAATTCATACACAAAGTAATTCAAAGTGCTTTACAGAATAAGAAATGCATTAAAATCATAATAAAAACAAATCAAAACATAAATAATCATGAAGATTAAAATTAAAAAAGAGAGACATAAATTGGAGAGAAGAGTGCGGAATGAAAACCTTTCAGTTATTTGCACAGTTAAACAGAAATGTTTTGAGCCTGGATTTAAACAGCGTCACAGAAGAGTCTGTCTCACATGTTCAGGAAGACTGTTCCAGGTTTTAGCTGCATGAACCTGAAACGCTGACTCCCCTTGTTTAGTTCTGACTCTGGGCACCAGCAGGAGGCCGGTCCCTGAGCTCCTCAGAGTGCGAGATGGTTCATATGACACTAACATGTCACAGATGTACTTTGGTGCTCGGCCATGGAGAGACTTGTACACAAGCAGAGCTGCTTTAAAGTCTATTCTCTGAGGCACAGGAAGCCAGTGCAGAGACCTGAGCACAGGACTTATGTGCTCGTACTTCCTAGTTCGAGTAAGGACCCGAGCTGCAGCGTTCTGGATGTTCTGCAGCGTCTCACAGCTCGTTTGGAGAGACCAGTGAGCAGACCATTACAGTAGTCTAATCTACTGGAGACAAACGCATGGATAAGTTTCTCCAAGTCTGATTTAGACAGTAAACCTTAGATTTTTGCTATGTTTTTTAGATGGTAAAAGGCTGCAGATGTTATTGATTTTATGTGACTGTTAAAGTTCAAGTCTGAGTCCATTATTACCCCTAGATTTCTTGCCTGATTTGAAGGTTTTAGAGAGAGAGACTGGAGGTGACTGCTGACACTGTCCCTTTGTTTCTGTGGACCAAACACTATGACTTCAGTCTTGTCAGAGTTTAGCTGGAGAAAGTTGTTTTGCATCCACACACTGATCTGTTGGATGCAGTGACCAAGTGACTCCACTGGTCCATAGTCTCCTGCTGCCAGAGAGACGTAGATCTGAGTGTCATCTGCATAAGGACTTAGTAGTTACTGCTGTAGTAGAAACCTATTAAAAGACAAAATAAACTTCAGACTTACATTGTACGTAGGATGACGTTGAATGTACAAAAACAAGTCAGCTCCCAACATGTAGAATGTGAGAGGGGTAGGGGTTTCCAAGTTTACACTTCATCTTACTCCTTTTTGAGCAAAACTGTACTACTGAACTCCAGGCTCGGGTCAGTATGCCTATTCCAGTTCCGTGTAGTGGAGCCGAGAGAGCACTTTTATCATCTCAGCATAAACATTAAAACACTGCATCATACACACGTCACTGCTAACATGGGAGTGAAGGTCAGTGTGCCCTAAACCCATCATGCCCTATAAGGTAAACGCACAAGACAACAGTGGGCAAGGGCTGCTTCATCATTGTCACTGCAATGTATTCGAATGAAACTGAGCTAAACAGGTGATGAGATGTCCAAGGTCATAATATAAAAAGTCTTTATTATCCCATGGCAAATAGGTTAGTTATTCTCTGTGCTGTATTTCACATCTGTATCTCCAAATGTTGGTATTTCTCAAAGTTCTCAAAGTAGTCCAGTAGTTTGTTTCAGTATCATGAACTTGCCATAGCCAGAGGTTCCAAATTTAAACCCATAACTTCATAAGTGAAATGAAGGGAAATGACCAAAGAAAAAAAAGAAAACTCACCTACATCTCTTCTCCGTCTAAAATAATTAAATATCAAAATTAAATGTCACACAATAAATTTGGTCCAAAGTAAAAGGTATACAGTAGTATGAACTTTTTCTTCATGTCGTCTTGATAATAAAGACTGTCACCTCTTCCTTTAGTTCAGCAGTGGCAGTGTCCTGAAGTCCCCTCCGCTTTTCCTTCTGCATCTGTCCCCACTGTCCTTCTCTATCTCTTTTCCTCTCTGGCGTCTTTTTCCTGACCCGACTTGACGTAGGGCCACAGATCTTTTTGCTACACTGACCCGATGTGTCCACACACTTTCACTGTTTAAGATCCCTGCTGCACAAAGGTCTGCATGAGAGAAGGAAGGAATTGCTCAGTGACACAGCACAGGATTTAAGTAATGATGTCTCTCTTCACCAGTGACCCGTAGCATGGTGGACAGTCAGTGGCTTACGTGACCATGACATAGCTACATACTGGTCAAAATAACAACATTGGGAGTAGAGCTCAGCCAATATGGGTTTTTTCATGGACACCAGCGAAAAACAGTTTTTAGAACACTGATTTTCATTATTTTTCCCAAGTGATGTAATTGTGTATGTAAAGTATGTAAATTTAAAGTTTGCTACAAACTTCACCCAAGCTCTTTTTGACCACAAACCTAAAAGAGAGCAATCATGTTTCGTGCGGTTATCTCTTCGTATTCAAGTGTTTATATAATCCTTGTGTGTTTTATAGGCAGCAGATTGACCAAAACAAAATATCAACCTATGCTAGAGATTTAAGACCAATAGTTGATATATTCAAAAGTTCAAATATTTGTCTACCTCAAATTGGAAGTAGTTGATCTTAGTCTAAATACATGTTACTATTTGTAGCGTATGTAGTAAAGCATGCTCTTATGTGTTACTGAATACCCTTACATGCATGCACCCTTACATGCGTCATGCGTTATCTGTGGACTCACTAATGCACCTATAGCTCTAAGCACTTTGGTCACATGGTCCACCAGTGGCTACATGTCATCAATATTAGAACTTTCAAACAGAAAACATTTTGATAAACCATGAAGTAATTGCTTTTTGCTTTTTGTATTGCGCTTTACAATTAATAATTTTACAAGTCTAAATCGTGTTAGAAATGTCAACTGATAAAAATATTCTGTCAATTTAATTGTTGTTAACATCACAGATATTTTCAGGTATAATAAATTTGAACACTTCTGACTTTGTTTTGTGATTTTCATACAAAAGTGGGCTGTCAGTTAGCACTGAGGGCATATCCCTCCCTTTCCTTATGCATATTGCAGTATTTCAATGCTGACAGCTTAGATTCTATGTGAACACAAATCCACGGCATGTCTCAATGTGCAGCTCTCAGGTTCATCTAAAGGTCAACATGAACACAGCCCAAGACCCTGCTCTTGGATCCCACCCAAAGGTGCTTCTCCTCGTGGTGCGTCTGACCAGCAAGCTCATTAAAACAGAAGCAGAGGGCTTTTCTCACACCAGCTACTCACTAAAGATGTGTGAGGATTAAAGCCTAGCCCCCTGTCTTCTTTTATGGTAAAGCGTGTGGACGTCAAGTTTTCAAAACCATTTATTTGATCTGTCATTTAAACACTACTTGCTTGGTGACAGCCTCATTCTTATTCATGTGATCTTTTGGACTTCAGACACATTTCTGTCAAAAGCATTACGAGCATGTTAAATCAGATTGCTTCATGCTGCAAGTGAAAGACTAAACAAACGTGCCCTTCATCAAGATCACCCCTTAGCATTACAATTAGATCCGTTGCTTGCTACAGTTTACAGTAGCTATCCATAGGCACGCTGTCAGCGTGGTCCATCACTTTGTTGTGATGACATTTACTGTGAAGAACCATAAAGGGGCAGGTATAAATCAGCACAGCAGTTTTTGAAAGGAGGTCTGTGGACTTTTCATTCATTAAGGTGTTTTATTGCAATCTATAATGTCCTTGTTTTGCACTAAACTGGTCCTGGTTTGGGCCATATAGAGACAATTCTTATCATTTTGATTTCTACTCCTGCCACACCTGGAGCCAGCGATATTGGCTGGATGTTCTGATCAGTCAAGTGCAAACAGACTGAAGATATGGGAACGAATATCTGTTATTTTGAGAGAAGCAGAAGAAGAAAACACACACAAAGACCATGTACTGTAGTTCAGGGACAAATGTTCAGGGATTTTGTACCATTACCTAACTCCTAGTGTTAGCGGTGAGTAATTGGTTAGTTTAGTAGAATTGTGGCTTATTCTAGGATTTATAGCACACTGCAAACAGAAATTAATCTTGAACTGGTTTAAATCATGCCTGCCACAGAGGTCAACAAGTCCTGGAGAATGGTGATTAATAATATTTCTGATACCGGCCCATAGTGTCACATGTTATCTGCACTGTTACGTAACAGCGCATTTACATGGTGACATTTAGTATGTTTGTATGCATGTGAGTGAGGGCAAACACGTGGACATACAGCGTGTCCCGCCCCCTCTACCCTGGACCCTCAGGACAGCTTCATAACAAACTGTCCCAAGAATACGGGGTGTGTTTGTGTTGGCTCCCAGGGGCATTGTGGAGGTCAGGTGCAAGCCATTAAAAACCTGTCCCTATAGGTTCTGCCGCATACTGTAGCTCCATGTTTGGGGCAGGCTTTGAAGATGTGCACGTGTGTGTATGTGGCCTTCACTGTGTACTTATCTCCTGTGCAGTACAGTTGGACTGGGAGAAAGCGCCAACCTTGTTCAATGTCAGAGCAGCCCAAAGGAAAACTGAGAAAATGTCAAATTCATAAGACCAAGAAAAATAGCTCTGCCATGTCTTTCTCAGATAAGCAGTGTACATTGTAGTTCTGTATCAACATGAATTATTATATCTAGTCTTCAGAAAGGTTTTGCAAAGTTCTACTGTTCATAGTATTCTACTACAAGCAGGCCAAGGTTTATAACATAATTTATAAGCAAGGTCAATAAGTGATGAATTATATTGTGGTGCATTCATTGTAATTAATACATCTACATTTTTAGAAATTTGAATCAATGAATAATTCCTTATTCAAGTCTTGGTAAGTTCAGATGCAGTGGTTATACTGCACTCCAGTGTAAGGAAGTGTAATCATAAAACGGGATTATGCTAAGTTATAATGATGTCCAGCTGTCAGCCGCTGTTGTTGTTGTTTTGTGAAAATAAGAAAGTACCACATCTTGTTAGCAGCAATGTAATTTATATTGACATTTCTCAGTGCTTTGTAACCTCTCTGCCCACACACCCAATGTTGTCTGCTACAAACGTCTCTCTCTCTCTCTCTCTCTCTTTGTTGAGTTAGACCAAGTTGCAGCTACAATTACATATATTCAAATGTGAAATAGAAATGTAAACTTTATTTAAACTTAATGATTTCTCTGCAACATCTATTGTTTTAGCTCTAACAGTAATGTTTCTGTTTCTCAGATCATTGCATACCAGCCTTATGGACAGTCAGTGGACTGGTGGGCATATGGAGTACTGCTCTATGAAATGCTGGCCGGACAGGTGAGGACACACCTTTAAAAAAAATCTCTCTTTTTTTGAGCAACATTTTGCATAAACTGTTCACACCACCATTTAGCAATATGAGAAATGCTGAGACTTTCACAGAGATTCTAATGTCTGTATACATTTAGGTGATTAACTTAAGTTAAAGTAGATATTGTTTCTATTAGACGTATACTCTCTATGTGAACTCTAAGGCATGACATCGGCAGAATTTTCAGGCCAGGGAGGTCAGTGGAGTGGAAATGACAAATAATTCATTTTTTGAACTGTCATAAGAACCACTTTATTTTAACTGATGATAGCCACCAGAGAGAATACACTAGCTGGGTCATCCACTCCATTAGTTCTTTGTCCATTCCCCAAGTGCCTATAATGAGAGCCTGATTTGCTTTGGCTTTTGGACTGTGTTCATCCACAAACCCTTTATCAGAGTGTGAACAACAACTAACAGCCCTCCTCTACTCACAGCCGCCATTTGATGGAGAAGATGAAGACGACCTGTTCCAGTCCATTATGGAGTCTACTGTGTCCTATCCCAAGGCTCTGTCCAAAGAAGCAGTGTCTATTTGTAAAGGGGTGAGTGCCTCTGTAGCAATTAAAAAGTAGTTCCACATTCCACTCCATAGTCCAGCATTTTCAAAAGTGACGAAAAAGGTGATTTCCTGCTTTACAAAATGGCATCATGTATATTATTATGTTGGTTGGAAACAACTGCCATTTAATTTATTCTGAATTCATGTATATTGTATACTGTTTTTTAGCTTTGGCATATTACCGTAATTACTTTTTGGTTTCTGCAGACCAAAAACTAATGTGCATCTTGTACTATGTAGTATTACATAATATTTGTACTATTTGAAAAGTTTCCTGTGTTGATGTTGTTAGTCCCAGGGGTCCTCCTCCTGTGTCTCTTGTGGCAGAACAGATCTCCAGAGACACCTCTTTGTACAGTACAGTGGGTCAGAACAAGTGACTCTAAGCCTGAACTTATTATTATTATTTTATTTATTTACTAATGCAGCTTTTTCGGAACAATATAAGCTGACTTATAAATTCATAAACTATTCAATATATAAACCTAGCACTCTGTTAAGTTATTCATTATCTTACAGTAAGTATGTGTGCCCTCATTTATATCTGTGTCCTTGAATGGCACAACAGCTGCACTCCCCCTTAATGGATACGTATGTGGCTCTTGCCGAAGGCTCAGAGAGTGACTAGATAAAGTAAAGGCAAGTGATGATGCTAAAGGAAGATAAAGGGCACTGCTGAGTGAAAGGAGTAAGAAAAACTGCTTAGAGGAGCCAGAGCAGGCACAGTCAATCATAGAGGGACAGACTGGCAAATGTACAAGCAACTACATATAGTATGTTTGCAAAATACAAGCAAATTTGTTTTTACAGTAGATTTGATCTTGTTCATTTTCAGTGAATGCAGCTGGTCCCACTACTGTAATGAGGAAACCTGTATAGATTTTAAGTAGGGCACAGATGTATAGTGGGTACACATTTGTCTAAATAATGAGGTGTTTCCTAATTGTCTTCTTTGCTTGGTATTTATTATGATTGGAGAAGCTGTATTATGTGAACAATGTTTAGTAAAAGTTCAGAAAAAAATATAAGCATTATGTTGCCAGAGATTCAGGACAGAAAGCTGCTCTAAGGAAGGCTGAAGTGGTAGGACTACAGATTTTGAGGGACTTTTGGAGGTGTGATTTTGAGGTGACAGTGTTGGCAGAAGGATGCTCTCTCACCATCAGAGCCAGAGAGGCACAAGGCTGTAAATGACTCTGTCATCAGCTGTTCACCAGCTGGATCAGCTCCTCTGCTGCACATGTACTTGCTTTATGACACTGGTGGAAAGACATAAAAAGATGGATTCTCAATCTTAAATTTTACATCCTGAATTTGGCTTACACCCAAATCCAATATATTTAATACAGTACAGTAATACGGTTTTATAATATGAATCCATTCTTCTAGCAAACATCATCCTCTGTTCTATCTGGGGTCAGGTTGCAGGGGACAGTCTAAGCAGTGATCTCTTTTTTTTATTGTAAAAACCAAAACCATTTTCCAAACACAGTTCTAAAGCACTTGTCCCAAAGGATGGCCAAAAGCCAAATAATGTCTGTTCATTTGCATTCGACCATCACTGATAATCAGGCTGATCTCCACAGTGAGTCACAGACCAAGGATTGAAATTATTGTCAATTTTATAATTTTATTCTGAAATGACAAAATTGCGTCTGTGAAGGTATGTTGCTAAAGGGGGATTTAAACCAGATTAATTTGAAAAATAATTAACTAGGGTCAAACTTGGTTCTGTTGCAGCTGATGACCAAGCACCCATCTAAGCGCCTGGGCTGTGGTCAGGAGGGGGAGCGGGATATTCGGGAGCACGCCTTCTTCCGGCGCATCGACTGGGAGCGCCTTCAGAACCGAGAGATCCAGCCTCCATTTAAACCCAAAGTGGTGAGTAACATGTGTGCACACCTTCTCATGCACAAAGCACAAAAGATTCCTCACAGAGATCCCACTTCTCAGCTGTAGAGGTAATTTGTGTTTTATGGGAGTCACTATGATCATTTTAATGAAAGTAGAAAAGTCACCATGAGAACACTATTAACACAAACTATGTATATAAACTAAGCAGATGCTTGTCCAGAGTTGGAAAAAATTGGAAAACTTAACTAGGGTAACTGCCGATTCACATTATTGATGTAGTAGTAACAACACTAGTTTAAAGTTTATTACGCAAAATTGAGTCTTGTGAGCTTTAAGTCATGTTCGATTGTTGTTACCTTCTCAAAAACATAACTGGAGTTATGAGCATTTCCTGTTTTACCACATGACATCACAAGGTGGACATGTATGAATGAAACAAAACACATCTCCAGGTATGTTTCATGAGAAAAACATCATCATAAGATCAGAAAACAGTGTAATGTGGCCCTTTAATAATGGCTGATGTTGGTCTGTATGGGAATCATGTGGGTAAAGGAACAGGTAGGTACATGGTAAATATTTTCTGAGAAGTTGGCACTGTGGAAAAATATTGTTTTAGAAAGTCAGAGGGTTTTTAGGCTACAAAGTGCTGTGTAAGTAAAAATAAACAAAAACAAAAAAATCATTATAATTTGAAGATGTGGCTTTTTTCCAAAAATAACTTATTCACATCCTGTTTCCAAGGAGATTTTGCAGTGGGTTTAGTTGCTGACTAAAACACTCAATAATAAATAAACATATTGCAGATGTAACAAAAAGATATAATAACTATTTGCTTGGAGCATATTTCAGACACAGGATTATCTATATTATTATATATATTAGAGCTTGTGCAGCATTAAAAAAAGTTAGTTTAAATCCACCATCTGTTACAATTCTTTATACTTTTTCCACATCTTTCACAGCACTGTCAGAGTTTGCTGATGTAATTTGACTGTATTTCAATGCAACTCTTCACTAAGTAGCATTGTCTGCATGTGCCAGTGATGTGTTCAAGGGACATTTGACATTCAGGCTTTTCTTTGATTGCAAACAGTTGCAGTAGAAAATATATTTACTGCTTATGGAGAATAATAATTGCTGTAAGTGTTGACAGAACAAATAGATCGACATAAGGGGCAGATGTAGGTCGGTCAGATGTCAAGCTCACAGCAGCAGAGCCATAACACAGCTGCTACCCACTGGCTATGTATGTGATCTGCACTATATAAGGTCTCCATGCACTGTCTGTCCATCTATAATTAATACAAGATTGATTTATTATGGATGTCTTTATAGCAGAGATTTAGCTGCAAGGCATTTTATAGTCCTCCGGGTGTATACATCTTCTGCCTATGCTTTGTGCACATTAACATGCATTAAGGAATATTCTTGTATACAAAAGTGAGCTTGGAAAAGTTAAAGGAAGATTGGAACCTGTGCATGTGTGTGGCTGATTCCATTCATCACATTTAACCATTACATTTAATTCATTATACTAATTTCACTTTGTTTTGACCTTCAAGGGCTGCACTTCCTCTAAACAGGTGAATTACTGCAGTCATGTGTGATTGCAACTACAAGCAACCTGTAGTGAGCTTAAAAAGGCTGAACTTGTATGGAAGACATGATGGGTATTGCATGTACTGCCACAGCTGCACAGTCTGTTGATGCGTAGGAGGCAATCGATGCAAAAGTTTGATGCTAAAGTTTGAGTGGATGCACGCTGAGAGTTTGTTAGCATGGCCATGTTCAGAGAAAGACAGGACGGAGGCACAGGGAGGAACAGAATCAGTACCATTTATCTGGCATTTTCAAAAAATCACTAGACAATTTGGAGAAAATTAGCTTTCGAGTTTCTATAAAACAGAAATAAGTATTTTTAGGGTTGTGTCAGGCATATTTTAGCTTTGGGCTGGGGGCTATTTTGCAATCAGGACAAAGGCTGCAACATAAAGACAAGTGATTCTGAGAGAAAACAGACAAAACAACAAACAAAGGTGAACTGTTAACCCCATTAATAATAACTACATTAACATTGATATTATCTTAAAGGTGCACTGTGCAATTTCTCTGGTGGAAGGTCCGCTAAGACTTGTCTCCATGGAGATATTATTACTCTGCCTGGAATGTTCCATGGTATGACATTAAAGGGACAGTCCAAAATTTTGGACATAGGACCTCATTTCCTAGTTAGCCAGAGTGTTGGAGACGTGTGGAGACACTTTTAAAAATATTTCATCCAGTCCTTGTATTTGCAGAGGTCGCTGGTGCTAGGCTAGTGCATGTCAATGGCCATAGTTATCCTGCCACTAAAAACAGTCTTACCCACTTCACAAAACACCCGAAGCAAATCTGTAATTATGTCAGACTATTGATGTGAATGTCTGTGTCAATAAAATAATGTTTAAAATAAAACTAACCTTGCATTGCATGAATCGTCGCATGTTGAGGGACTATTTTCTCTGCAGCAGCGGAATTTTACTTTGTCGGTAAGATAGGTGCTAGGTGATATCAAACCGCCACTGCCAAGCTTTCTATGAGGAAGTACAACTCACTGCTGCTGCACACACATAAATCCTCCAAATACAAGGTTGGTTTTAGTTCTTAAATTAATCTATCACCACAGACATTTACACCGACAGTCTGGTGTAATAACAGATTTGCCTCGGGTGTTTTATGGAGTGGGTAAGACTGTTTTTAGTGGCAGACTAACTATGGCCATTGACATGCACTAGCCTAGCACCAGTGACCTCTGCAAATACAAGGACTGGATGGAGTATTTTAAAAAAGTGTCTCCACACATCTCCAACACTCTGGCTCACCAGGAAATGAAGTCCTATGTCCAAAATTCCGCACTGTCCCTTTAAACATATACATCAAGTATTTATTCATTACGGGTGTTTCTTTTGCTCAAAAATAGAATAATTTCTTTTGGGAATAGGGGCAACTCTCCACAGATCTGAGCTGTAATGTAGCGTAATGCTATAATAATATGCTTGTCTCTGTTTCCATGGAGACAAGCAGCTGGCTGACCCTCCACTAAAAATGTTACACAGTTTAAATTGTCCAATATTATTTGTCAAACTAGTCAGGCATTGGCTCTACACCATCTACTTGCTTGGACAAATATTTCGTACCCTAGAGTACACTGATTTAAATAAAAAAAATAGTAAAACATTTTAAGACTAGACCTTGAGCAGTTCAGCCAAGATTGTACTTACTGTTTTCAGAAAAATAGAGGATTATATCTTATACTTCTTATACTTCTTCTTATACTTATAAGTAATAGTAGTAGTGATTGAAGGTAGAAAACATGTAGGGATGGTGATAAGGATGGTGCTTGCTTTTATATTCATGTGAGTGCTGTGGTGCTCAGAGTGGGGTCTGTTGGTCTATTAGGTGCAAACAGCAGTCATTACCCACCCCTCCCTCGCCCTGCTCCGCATCTAACCCTCTAATCTACTCCACCTCCTCCTCTTTCTCTCTTCTCTCCATCTTTCACCCGCTCAATCTCACTTCACCCTCCCATGACAGCAACCGAATTACAATCAATATCACCTCTGACTGAGCCTCTCTAGTGCGTGCGAGAATCTATATTTTACACTGAATCTATATTATGCACGCAGGTAACAACTATAATTAAATGTTGTAGATGCTATTAGGAAGCAAGGGTACTTTTCATGAGGACATAACGCGGTCAGTGGACACTTGTGGATGACTGACCATTTTTGTGGCTGAGGGGCACAGGGCGTTAGCGAGGAAAGTAGGTCAAAGAGGAAAGCTGCTGATGTGCAGTGATGGGAGCATTGGAATGAGGAGAGAGAGCAGCTCAAAAATACATCTAGTGGGAAGTCTGAGTCAGTTCTGTCAAGTTGGGATGGGTTCCAAGGATATCCCGCACACACATGCACACACATACACAGGGACTTCATATGGATGAATATTGATGAGTTGTGAGTGCAGCTGTAAGAGAAAAGCTGACATACATAACTTGAGTTAGCAGATCTGTCTCTCCTCTTCTCTTGGCCTTCTTAGGGTGACTACATTCATTAGTGTAAGTCAAAGATTTCAGGTGTTCAAATTCCAACTGCAGTGATTGGCTTTGGCAGTTTTTTTTTTTTTTCCTGGGAATAAACTTGATAATTACTTTTTCTCATTATACATGCACAAGTTCAAACATACATACACCCACACGCACTCAGAAAAGTTTCCAGTCATGGTCTGATTTTACAATCTTACAACATAAGGCAAAGCTATGTGCTGTTTTTTGTTTGTTTGTTTGTTTGTTTTTTTCATATTTTTTGTTTGTTTGTTTGTTTGTTTTTTTCATATTTTTTGTTTGTTTGTTTGTTTTGTGGTATAGTGTCATTTGTGAAGAGCATTATTTGAATTTGTTGTTAACAAATACATTTGTCTATTTTTATTATTTAGTCCAGAAACATATGTTATAAATTAAAGTTACCTTTACAGATACAAATACTGTGGACAGTTCCAAACAGACAAATAACAACAAATAAACAAGCATACATGAAGCTAAACATCACTGTCATTGTCTGTTTATCACTTGAGAAATCAAACCAACCCACTTATCGCATCATCTAGTTCTGTCAGGGGAAGCCCTATAATTAATAATGTGAATATTGGCTAAGTGTTTCGAGGTGATGGATTCTCTAATTATTATGTATGGATGTGCAGTCAAATTGTTATTAAATACATGTCAGCTTTATGAATACTCTGTTAGAGCCTAGACAATAGTTAAACATCAGTGATTATAAACAGAAGTTTAGTACAAGGACAAAGTGTGTTTGGGGCCACTGGCTTTATAGAGGAGGAGAGGACGATGGGGCATCCATTTATCATGCTAAGTGGCTGGGTGTTCTTTTAATATGCCCGTGTGCAGAGGCGTGCGCAGCAGCATGTGTGCCAGGAGAGCAAAGGAGGAGATTAAAGATGAGGAAAGTAGGTCAAACACCCATGTAGGACACTATGTCATCGTGTAGGGACTGGAGCAGCTGATGGTTTTGGTCTCAGCCCACATGGTTTGGCTGGATTACAAAATTAAACATGCTTAACCAGCTTTTTTTAAATTCTAAAAATAAATGAAAGTTCCTGCCTGTAGTTTGGGCACTGCACATGCTGTACTGAACTGGCTAAAGTACTTTTAAGTTGTATGAGGAGGCAATGATGTTATGGAACCTTTGTGGCTAAAATACTGCTTTAACTACATGTTAATTACAACATTACAACAACTTCCTGGTCATGTGGAACGCTTAACTTGTGTGTCTTTGGATTCATGCTCAATATGAAGGCACAGCAGCTGGACCTTAACTGCTACATTACAAACAAAAATATTGAACCGATAATTGTAATACTTTACTTTACTTTACTTTTAATACATTTTTCCCCTGTAGTATTATATTGCCAGAGTGTGTGCAGAGGTCAGTGTGAGCATTGCTTGCTTGACTGGTCAGTGACAGATGGGAGTAGACAAGGAGACAGGCACATCAGTGGAGGGACGCTGGCTATTACCCGTCAGGTGTCTTCTGGTGCTGCGGTAAAGTGAGGACGGAGCTTCTGTGATAGAAAACAAAGCACACACTAAAGCCTCATTGTTCACCTGTCTGTGAGATGCGCGCTCTTCTTTCTACAGGGGCTGACAGGTTTGCACTGGCCCCGAGCGAACATCACCTGCTTGCGACAGAAGTCAGCTTTAGAAATCAAACCACAATGTCTCTGTGTTCACTTGTGTTAAATCACCTGGCAGGTTTTGTCCAGTCTCAACAACAGCCCAATTTACAGTAGATTTGTCTGCCTTAATTCTATACAGTGTAACAAATAAGACTGGACAAGCTTATAGACAGTGGGTCAGACACTGGCTCGTCCAAGCTATAATCAAAACATGTTCGAGATGTAGGGCACTGAGTCACAAGTCTCCAAGACGGGTTACAGCCCACCGGCTTTGACGCTGCCCAAATGCCAACAGATGAAGAAGAACTTAACAGGCAGCAAAGGGCATGAAGAGCTCTTCTGTAGATGTTTGATGAAAATTGTGTTTGAAACTGGCCTGTTCATTAGTCAAGAGGCATCTTTAACATCATTGACCTTGTGTGATGGTAGCATTTTGAGATTATGTGATGCATCTACCCAAATGCTAATCTTTGTTTTTGGCACTGGCCATAGATTATTGACAATGGCCCAATGTTAATTTCTTACCCAAACCATTTACCATTTATATCTGATTTAGTGTTGTTACTTAGAGAGGGGCGGATGAGTACTGGGTATGTAGTGGACTATGTGTGTTAACACTGTTGGTAGCACTGCTTTTATATACTGTGGCTGGTGGTAGCAGTGTCATTTCAAACATAGTGATACTTTGCACTGACAGTGCGATGGGGAGCTCTACATGTATATCTAAGGTGGAATGTTCAGCTGTTACGATGGTGACATGATGCACACATTAGCAAAACACATTAGCAAACACTGCCAAAAAAGTTTTAAGAAACTCAAGAAAAATACTAATTGGCACATTTTCAGGAGCCTGTGATCAGTATAAGCGTTCATGTTTTTTTTTTTTTTTTTTTTTTTCTGGTCAGATTGGGTTAAAACAATGCTCAGATTAAACTCAAATATCAAAATGTCTGACAGAGTAGTGCCTTCAGTTAGCATCACACCCCGAGGGAATGTTGATGGCTTCAGCTGCAAAGTATCAATCTATTTTTGTATTGCATAACCAGAAAGCTAATTGATTCATTTCACTTTTACACTGCCCTCAATAAGTTACATATGTTGTATGTGCGTAGTTGACCTGGAGCTCTTTTCTACATACTCTATACAGCACTTGCACTATTGATGGCTCTTTGCATCCTATATCTGATGCATGATAGGTGTGAGCGCATTGTTGGCTCGTCTGAAAATGGTGGAATATGCATGAGTAACAACCACAACAACAACAAACACAAACACATTACATCTGTATAGTAAATATGCACAAATATATAAATACATGTGTTGGTATGAAATATACACTACCAGTCATGACTTTGGATGCACCTTCTCATCCATTTTTTTTTCTATATGTTTACTACTTTTGACATTTTATATACATTTAGAAGACATCAAATATATAAGGTAAGATATATGGAATTATTTAGCACAAAAAAAAGTTAGGTTAAATAATCAATATAATAATATTTATATATTTTATATTGAAACCCTCAAATTATTAACTTTTTTCTTTGTTGAAAAATAGTCGGTAGAAGTGCTTAACTTTTTTTCTTTAATAATAAATATATATGTCTTGCATCTTGAGTCCAAACTTTTAACTGGTGCTGTATAAACATACACTGTCAGTCAAATGTTTGCACACACCTTTTTTTTTTCATACTACTTTCTACATTTTAGATACATACATAAGATATCAAATACATGAAGCAAGATATATGAAATTATTCAATTATTATTTAGTTATTATTTAAATAACTACTAAATATTTTTCGACAAAGCAAAAGGTGGATATATTTATTTCTCTTTTTTCTTTGCTACACTATTCCATATATCTCATCTTACTTCATATATTTGATGTCTTCTGTATGTATATCAAATGTAGAAAGTAGTAACTATATAGAAATAAACGCAAGAGGGTGAGTCCAAACTTTTTAACTGGGAGTGTAATTATATTTCTTTTGTATATAACTGAATGTGTAATTTCTTGCTATTTTTTGTTGTGAAAACATGCCCAGTGTTTGATTTGTGTGTCTCTCTCTTTCCCAGTGCGGCAAAGGGGCTGAAAACTTTGACAAGTTTTTCACGCGCACACAGCCTCAGCTCACCCCTCCAGACGAGCTGGTGATTGCCAACATCGACCAGGCCGAGTTCGCCGGCTTCTCCTTCATCAACCCTCAGTTCATCTACTCCTCCCTCGACAACTGTCTATGAAGAGGCCAAAACATGTCCACATTTTGACCCCATGAGACGACGCCTTCATACTAGTTTCACTCCAAGTGTACAATAAAACATTAAAAAAGCAGTAGTTAACTAATGTAGTGACTAATGAGAAGCATGTAACTTTGTCCTATGTAACGTACTGGAGATACAGTGGTACAGAGACAGATGCGTGCCAGACATATCCATGCCAGTATCAGAAAGATGTATCAGACATTTTAGCATGGGTTTCTCCTCCTCCATTGTGCAACTTGCCTGAAAAAATCACCAAACAAACTAAATGTACCAAAATCAAGATTACGTTAGTAGCACAAACGCTCTAGCCAAATACGAAGGAGTGGTGGTGCACGCAATGAGTTCTATGTGATTCTGTGTTTCCTGTTTACTAGTTTTTAATTAACTAATTTTTAACCTTTACTAGTTTACTGTTTGAATTTAAACAAACAAATGTTGATTAGGGGGAGCATGTGAGGAGTGAAGGCTGGCATAGGGCTGATTTAGGTGAGTTACAACGCATACCTTATGGTTGTGAAACACTGTCATATTGGACTGCACAGTTAGAAATGAAAAATACAGTTTTCATTGTGGTGGCCAGTGTCACCGGATGTTCTCAGTATGTTGTGCACAAGACCATTCTCCTGTTTACCTTCTAAATGTTTACAGTATGTCCTTTAGCCTTCACTCAGTGTTGACCACTGTTGTCCACCTCTGCAGTCACACCTCACTGTCCCAACAGAAGCAGTGTGGAAATGTTATTTAATATAATCCATCTTTAGTTTAGCTACGTAGAATCTTTAGTCCAGAAAATAGCCACTTTAATTTCTTTTAGTTTTTCATTAAGGTAAATTGCTCTTTTTGTGATTTCCTACATATTTTTCCATTAGAAATAACTATTTTATTGTAAGAGATATCAGTGTATAACACCTTTGTAAATAATCATTATTTAGACAATTATTGCAAGTTACATTTTTATACCAACACTTGAATGTGCTTTTAATACATAAATTAGATATAACAATATGTGTATGTGCAAAAATACACTAGAAACTGCCCAGTCCAACTGCTAACTCCTGGATGTTTAGTCCAGATATTTGAAGTTAGGAGACAAATGTATGTGACTTGTTTTGGCACATTTTTTGAGAGCTTTCTCTGTTTAATAAGAACTAGTATAGTTTAGCTTGGATGTGTGTCCTTCTGTTCCTGCATGCTGCCAGTAGACCGCTGATGCATGTGACCAGCTGAATGCTGCATGCTTTCGGGTATGAACCGGGCTGAGGTATGCTCTAATCCAAAATACACAAACATTTTTAATGTTCAATGACAGCGTATGTCAATAAAGTCATTAAGAGAAGTAAACCTGGTCATAATCTTCAAGTCTTCCACTGTCTGCTTCAGCAAATGTGCTGCATGTACAATTGAAGGAGAGGCCATTCCACTTAATCATACTACAGCCATATGAAATGTCCGGGTCAATAATCTACTGATATTAATGTTGTTGTGGTCATAAAATTATTAATGAGATGTTTTAGTACATTAGTAGACGTTTACATACCCCTGACTTCAATACTTATGTCAATTATCTTAATGTTACTTTGCTGTAATTGTGTTTTACTGTTGCCCTTTAATATTTTATGCTTGAGGAATGTCTCCTGCCTCCTATTCTGTCCTTTTGATAAACTTTTGCCTGTGCCAAACCCACACGACCAGAGCTATAGAAATTGTCCCTTTAGCTGTCGCCTGCCATATGTCTTACCACTTCTGTACTTTTTTAGGTGTGATGTATTTGAGTTTATTTGTCTATTTCTAATTTGCATCCTTCTAGACTATAAACATTTTCAGTTTTATGGAGTTTTTATTGTTATTCAGCATCCAAAGTGACTTACACTTGAAAACAGCTCTAAATGTGATTGGTCCCTTTAAGAGTTTACAAGCTTATCAAATCAAATAGTGTGCCTTTCCTATTTAGACATCAGACATCATCAGCTCTTATTTATCATTTAACTATTACAGTGATTACAGTGAGTGTGGAAAATAGCCATTTGTCATTTTAAGTGATTCCAGGAAATCTTTCCATTTGGAAACTGTAGTGCCCCTCATGTGTCAGGGTGTACCACCCCCTCACCCCAGCTCCTCAGTGCCTCAGACAAATCAACTAATTCTTTCACCTTGAATACTTCTTTATCTTCTCAATGCCCAAGAAAGCCATTAGAAATGTATTGTTTCTCCTTGTTGCTTGCCTTTTTAAAGACATTTTAACTAATACAGAAGAAATTATTAATAATTATTCTGTTTTGAGTTTGAATCCATTTATGTCCAATGTTATGTCTAAGCTGATTCCCATCTGACTGATCAGAGGATCGATGGAGAAATGCCTTATTGTTCAATACACAGCATTTCTTTTATTGCTTCAGTTAAATTCAGTCCTCCTCGTCTCCTGTACAGAAACTACAGACAGTATACACTTGCATTAGTATGAAAAGAAGATATTGTATTTTGTATTGGTATATGTTCCTTCATGTTTGCCTGAATCCTAGTTTAACCAATTTGAGCTTCTTCACCTGTAACCAATTGTGTTATTTGTACCTAATGTATAATAATGCAAATAAATACCTATAAATGAAGTGAATACATTGCTTGTATTGGACTTGTGGGGCTTGTTGTGAGTAAACATTGCAGTTGCAGTATGGAGAGTTGTTTGTGTGAGTATGTGGGCGTTTGGACTTGGAGTATTTTCTCTACTCCTCTTGTAGGAGGATGTGTAGTTAAAGGCAGAGGAGGGTGAAATACCAAGACTATGATGGTCACGCTTTTAGCAGTTAAACTCTGTGACAATAGGTTCAAGTTCTGCTCTTCATGATAATAACAGAGCTGCTTTTCTGTTAGGTCGTGTTTAGTTATGTACATCCAGTTAATATGGTTGGGCTGGTTGCACTGACTGCACCCTTGGGTGATCATCATGCTCAAAGCTGGTGTGGGTGCTCCTCTGCTAATACAGTTATTATTTGGTCCACTGCCTCACCTTATTACCTACATACAACATATGTATGAGCATTTTAATATTATTTGAGATTAAAACTTACTTTCTCTGTGAGAATGAGTATTTATCACTCGTACATATTGTCTTACACACAACCCAAAGGCTCATACTCACTACAACAAAGACTATGAGCAGCAGATGATGGATCATAAAAAGTTCAAAGTTAGTCAATTTCTGAAGTGAAATGTGGTCAGTGAGAAGTGACGTCCCAGTCAGTTCTGATGACTTCATTCAATCCTCTAAATGAAGTGTTTTACATGTGATGTGGCAGATACTCAGCAGTGACTGTATGCCCTGGGACACTTTGTATTTTTGTACTGCGAGGAGCCATCCAAAACCATGGGCAGTTCTGTTCACAAAGGAAAGAAGAACATTCTAACACAGAAAATCTAAAAACTGTTCCGTAAATGAGCATCTCGTTTGAACTTCAAGCTATTTGTGTTGACTTTAAGTGGCGCTGCAGCAGAAGTCGTTTGTATTACTAATATCACATAATGTTGTTTTATGCAGCAGTGAAACACAGCTGGAGGACCCAAACAGACTCTTGACCTCTCTTTACAAGTGTTCAGTCTAAATGGTAGAATTAAACCTGCTGGGCGCGCCAGGACTAGCCCGACCCCAGGCGCAGCTGCCAGGATAATACAGCCCAGGGCGCGAGGACCTTGTTAATTCACTGGACATTTGAGGTCTCTGTGGCGCGCAGACAAACACAGACTAAAGGTTACGCAGACAGCGACGTGACGGAGCACTCCTAACACGCACAGCTCACATGAACGCACCCGCTCTTTGCGCCTTGGCACGAGGGAGGATCCTGAGGAGAAAAGCCTCGTCAGAACTAGAGGAGTCACACGTGCAGCGCACCACGCACAGCGCGAGCGCCGCAGAGTACATGTCGCGTTTTGCACGGATCCTGCTCGACTTACGCGCCAAACTTGAGCCCCCAAAAAGAACACGGAGTGAACAGAAGAACCGAGACAAGAGGAAAGGAGTTATAGAGGAGTGATCCGAGTTTTTTATCTGAGCTTCTCTTTACAGAAGGTAAATGTACACTTTTATAGATCTTCATTCATACAGTTTTATTTCATAACCAGTTTTGTGGGAGACCACATTATTGTTATAGTTAACACGGGACGCTGCTATAGGCTAATCTGTAAGACTTAGAACCTAAAATGGAAAAATGTTTGGGATATCTATGAGACAGCCATGTTGTTTGTGTATTTAAGTGACCAGATGAAATAAATATACTACTTTAACGTTATGAATTCTTTTCTGTGTCGCTGCATTCAGCACCGCGGACAGCGACCCGAACTTCCTTTTAATGCCCCAGATTAAGACCGTGAGGCGCTGTTTATCTATGTCCAAATTCACTTGCCACATCTGCTCAAAACAAACAGACAATGTGAACAGCTTACTTTCAGTTGTTAAAATAATGCCATGTTTTGAAACGCAGCCCGTAAGAGGTAGACTACAGCTGCACGACACATGCCTCCCTGATGAACCGCTGTGAGACAATGTTTCACCTATAGAAAACATGTTGTTTACGCTCCCATTGCTACGGTATTGCTTTTAAATTTAGTTACTTTTAACGTTTCATGTTGTTATACTAGTCATATTATAAAATATGGGATTCTAACTGATTCTGTAACCAAAGATTATTAATTACACTTAAGCAAAGTCCATAAAATGCAGTTCATGAGTTGAGTGGGAGTGAAGGTTGAAAGGCATCATGTACTATAGTTTAACACAATTGTGTTTTACTAATTTCTCAAGTGGAATCAAATATTTATTCTGTGTTTTGTTATTTCATGTAAAATTCAGTATTGTTATAGTCATGTTTGTGATTTCCTCTTTAGTCCATTCAGGCTTGTCTAATTTGGAGGCCTCTCTGTGGTGCGTTGCCTTGACGATGGGCCAGGACAGAGCCGAGTGTGTCTAAACCTGCACCCAACAATAAAATGAATGCTGGTTTAATGCTATGGGTCACTGGAGTTAAGGGACTGTTCAGGTTTGGGCTCATTAAACTCAGTAAATGTTTTTGGAAAGCCATTTAGCTGCAGTGAGACAAGAGCAGAGCAGTTTATGTATTATTGATGGCTCAGAAAAAATGTTTACTAAAATGATGAGTTTTTGAGGATTTTTATTTGGCCTGCAAGATTCTTTACAATCAAAATGAAATCACAATTTGAATGGTCACAGTTAGCAGATCCCAAAATCTGCAATTATTGAATCATTTCACAAAATATTGTATCTTATTATCTTATTATACCTGCATAAACCCTGATTTCTAGACCTCTACAAACGTGTTCTGAAAATGCATGTGTTTCTTTTTTTACACACACACACACGGTTCAGCCTTAATTTTAGTATTATGCTAACATTGCTATTTGTAATACTAACACTAATATGAACAACTAAAATTACACTTTGGGTTCAAGATGTAATATAATTTAAAGATCCTATGTTACACAAAATTGATTCTTGTGGGCTAAGTCAGGTTAAAATGCTGTTACACACTCGAAAACATACTCGAGGTTATGTTTTGTTTTATTCACAAATGTCTAAGTAATTCTAGGTCTGAAATCATCCAAATGACTCCTAGTGAAGGTGTTTGAAAGTGTAAAAACACAGTGGAACATTTCCTGCCTTACCACATGACAACACAAGGTGGAACAGAGCGTTTTCGGTTTGAGGGAAGTTGTGGGAGTTGATGGAGTTTGTGTGTTAAACAAAGTGTGAATAAAACATAACACAACTCCAGGTATGTTTGTGATGAGAAAACAACATTATCAGAAAATAGTGTAATATGGTCCCTTTAAGCTACAAAAAATACATTTCTTTCAGCAAAATAAACAAATAAAGCTGAATAAAGAAGTGCATGTGACCAATGCCCTGTCAACATGTCAGTCACAGATCATTTGTGCTAACCAGACATGACATATTTAACTTATCAAACAATTTATCTGGAGTCCTGCATGTTTTATTCATACATCTCCCAGGAATAAGTGAAGATATAAAAACAACATGTCATTTTAGCGATGGTGATGACGCTGATGATGAAGAGCTGTACAGAAGCCAAAAAGCATTTGTTGAAAGAGAGATGAAGGCTGTTTTTGGACGCACATGAAACTGGCTCGGTCTATATCCAGAGAGCTGCCCCTTTCAATTAAGATCATGTGATGTTACAGCAGGAAGATGGGGCGCTTTGTTGTCTCTAGGAAATAGACCGCACCTCCCACACAGGGTCAGCAGCTCCACATGTGGCATCAACAACACCAAGTTCAGACGATGTTCGGTTTATCAGCTTTATTGACCAACATACCAATTTAAAACATTATATTCTGTGTTTGTGTTTTAGATGCATGAAGGTTACAGCTGCTTATTATCTCACCACAGGCAATACTTGAATGATTGAAGAATACAACAAACAAAGACAACAAACAAACAAAGTAAGAAAAGCTGTAGTAACATGTCAAACAAAAGAGTCACTTTTAAAATGACAAGACTGAGGTGTCAAAATGCCTTTTGAAGATTTATAGTAGCTTGTTCTAATCTAAACCTCCAGTAGGACACATAAAGACTTATATGTGTAGGGTTGTAAATATGGGTTAAATGATATGAAATAATTAATCAAATAAACTAAACTAAAATAGGTACATTCTAGACTACTGTTTCCCAAAGACTGGGTTGCAACCCTCTGGTGGATCAAAAGAGATTTTTTTTGGGGTCGCCTTGTCTGCATATGTAAATCTGCAATATACAGTTTTGCCAATATACCTGATATGTGTGTTGTGCTCTCCTCCTGCACCCCGGGCTGAAATGCTCTACAAAAACGTTAACAGACCCACGTATCTCATTAGAAATGTTGAAATGTTAAGACATATTTTTTATAAATTCTAATCTTTTTGTAATTATTTTATTGACTATTTTGTTCCAGTATTGTTGGTTCAATTGAATGTTGAAAAGAAAAAGAAATGGGCTACATTTAAAGTCCAAATAGGCGACTAATTTTAATTTTAAAATGTAATTTTTGTACAATGCCATGGAATACAATCATGGATATGATTGATGAATAAAGAAGTCAGATGGAAAGATATTTTTTGACAACATAACATCATGTCACATTATAAATGTGTATACCATGTTCATTGCACACTGAAGTAGAGCACAAACTAAGTGAAAGAGTGCCTCTGTCTGGGCTCACTATAATTGGCTTTATATTGGGGGTTTTTTGTTTTTGTTTTTTTGTTTTGTTTTGTTTTTAGGCAGCTCAGGGCATTGTCCTTTTGTCTCTTTAGAGCCTCAGAATATTGTGCCTCAGTACTGAACAGCAGAGTCACTGAAACTGTACAATGCATCCACTGGAATGAGTGGAAAGAGTACTGAAAATGTGTAAAAATTATGAAAAATGTAAACAAGTAAACATAAAAAAATTATTTTCAAAGGCTGGAGGGAGTCTGTGCTAACCAGCTAGCTCTGAAATGCTACAGACAGGCTTTCTACACCAAATATGGCAAAAGAGGAAACACTTCATCTCATCACCAACCCAAACAACAGAACAAAGTGAGGCTTAGAAGAGGCTTTCCTGTTGCATCTCTAAGTTCACCTGGCGCCCCCTGGAGGCTGCTGTGATGATGCAGGACACAGAGGACACAAAAGAGGGACACTTTTGTCCTGAGGACTGCTACTCTTCTCAAACTGCCCTGACACTGGATCAAATGACCTGTTGAGCTGCACTGAGATGTTTGTTTGAGCTATCTATTATTATTGTATTTTACTGCTCAGTGTGTTTAAATTGCCCCCTCAGAGACAATGAAAGTAATATTGACTGATTAATTTAGCTATAATTACAAACATACAAATCACTCTCCTCTTGTGCTCTGAAAATATAGTTTTACTATTGAGGGATGTCATCTACATAACTGGAACACAACACCAGTAACCTTTTTATTATTGTGTTGTTTTGTCTCTTTGAGATGCCATGTGCAGATGGGCCACAGCTTTTTGACCTATGAGTTTATTCACACAGAAAATGTCATCAATTGTATAGAGAGTCTAAGGCCTTTTAACAGTCTCCCATTGGGAAATTGTTCAGTGTAAAAGGTGTCAAAGACCACACAGCTGCACTGACCACAGACACTGCCCCTCATGTCCACTCCACTGCATGTCAACAAGAGGCGTGGTTTAATTAATATTGCACATAATATTTCAGTCCATTTTGTGTTTTTAGCTTTAGTAAAGAGAGATGTTTGTGGTGACTTTTAAGAGACTTTATTTACTTTTATAGGTCTAGCTCTAAAAAGGCTAAGGTCAGACCACAGTTGTGGTTGTGTAGTCTTGCTGGCTAGGCTATAAGTCAATGCATATTAAATACTGCAGGCTAGTGCCAATAATGTCATACTTTGTCATAACCCACTGTCCCTCTCCTGTTTTGCTTTTCAGCTCCCTGTTTTCTCCTGGCAGCGCTCCCTGCTATTGAGGCTGTGGTATGAGCCTATGTGGCAGGAAGGCACTGACGTTGCTGAGCAGCGTGTTTGCTGTGTGCGGCCTGGGGCTGCTGGGCATCGCGGTGAGCACGGACTACTGGTTGTACCTGGAGGAGGGGGTCATCCTGCCCCTGAACCAGAGCGCAGACATCCGCATGTCACTGCACTCAGGCCTGTGGAGGGTCTGCTTCATGGCTGGTACCACACACAGACGCTTCCATTTGTACAGTATCTAATCTAGATTTAACAGTAAGCTATCGGTGTATGATGTAGTGATCTGTTTCTTTAATTATTTACAGAAATATTCACCTGGTTGTTGTGAGTTATCCTACGTAAGACTATATCTATAATGTTTTGGCTCAGTTTAATCTCTGCTTATATTGTGAAACATTAGCTCTCAGTGAGCTGCCCTCGTTTGGCCCTAATGACCTCACTGCAAACTGGCCTAAGCCTACAGGCTACAGAGTCAAATGCAACATTGTGACTAATGAAAAGTAATGAAAAAATCTTAAACATGGCTTTTGGGAGTAAGTGCTGCTATAAAACTTTATTGAGGAGTCTCTGCCTTTGACCCATCATTAAATCACTGCTGGGGCAACCAGTCTGAAGGTTGTAGATCTTTAAAAACATTCATTGTGTTTAGCTTATAAACAAGTTCTTTCATATTTGGCTTTTTCTTTTTGTTCATTAAGACAACTCTTGCATCACACTGATGTAGATATCCTTTATTAATTCACATATTGTACTTTCAGCCAAGTTACTCTTGACCACCTATGTCCAAAAGTCTGATAGCCTGATGTAGTGTTTTGTTCAGACGCCTTATTGTTCACTTAACTCCTGTGATGGTTGTTTGACCCAGAAATGCCCAGTGCTCACCATCTATATGCTGTCACTCGTGCTAAATAGGACTCTGCTGTTTGCAGCATTGACATTTTTGGATTGTATCGGGTGTTTAGGTGTGAACCGTCTATAGGATCTTTACCCACAGCTCAGAGGTTCAATATGACCCTGGGGTCCATGTGCAAAGTACAGTTCACTTATATTATTATATCTGTTTTACTTGTTTAAGTTGAGAATGAAAATGCTCATTGTAAGTGATATTCCTGTATTTCATTCTTCAGTTAAGAGAAACACACTTTTGATAAGCTCACTGATGTAAAGGGTTGTGTGTCTTTCCCTGTCCCACTTTGTTAGCCCCTTTGTTAGAGATTACTATCCATCTCAAATTGTAAAAAAAAATTGATTCCTCCTCTGTGAGGAACTTACCATCAAACATGAACACCTTTTTTTCTACTTATTTTTTGTTTGTTTGTTTTACAGAACCTGAATTCTTGAGTAGAAGCTTTTGCAGCCATTTCCTTGTATAACAGTCTTCCTTTTTAAACATCTCTGTAGAGGCACAGCTCACCTTGCACCTTTTGTGCGTGGGTGCTAGACTTGTGTCAAAGCGATGTAGAAGAGGCGCCAAAGCTTATGTTGGTTGTTCTCACACGTTTGAGTAACAGAAACATTATTTGATCTGTAATATTGGGATCTTACATCTTCACAGCTGAAATAAAGTTTACACACCTAATAGTGGTTAAGTCCCACTCAGTGGGAGAGAGTGTATCTCATATAAGGTCGCGTTTCTGATTCCTGATTTCTGATGTTTTGATTTTTTCTATAGGGGATGAAAAAGGCAGGTGTTTCACCATAGAGTATGTGATGCCAACCAATGTCCAGATCACCTCAGAGTCCACTGTCAGTGTGTTGAGTAAGTATCAACACTGTTGATATACATTATATGCATTTGGGTCTATCTCAAGTCTGTTTGTGCACTGAGCAGCATTGAGAAGCACTAAATCACAATGTAATGATCTGTTGAGATTTTTAAAATGCCATATTGCCCTCATCTAGATTAAGCTATTGTATGTTCTAGTTATACCAACATAGTTATTATGTTGTTGATTGCAACATGACAGGTAGATTTGGTTGTGAATCAGATTTTAGGATGTGTTCTCATGTGGCACATATTTTAAATTGAAGATTCGTGTAATCATAATTTTCTTGAGAATCAACATGGAGATCAGGGTCAGGATTGATTGTTATGCTTTAGCAGTAAACTTTATTGGTTTGTCCACTATTATATTGTGCCAGAAATGGAGGATTTATTTATTGAAGTTGAATTTGGAGTTGTCTGGAGTGCAGTTTGATTGGCGTGCCCCCTGTTGTGTGCAGTGGGACAGAGCAGCTCAGTGGGCTCACTCAGAGCCTGCTGTTCTGTCAGGACCACTCAGACTCACTCCGTCCTCTACATGCTCTCTCCAAAGGCACAGGGCATTCGGGTGCGTGGACAACTAGAACTACTACACAAAGCAAAATGAGTCAGCAGGCTCAAATGTGTTCTGATGCCACTGTTTTTCAAGTTATGCTTGAACAATTTCTTAACTTTGCAATGAAAAAAAAAAAAAAAAGTCACCGCTTTACTTTTTTTTTTTTTTTTTTTAATATTGGCACCACTTTCCTCCCACTAAGGGGTCTATCTTGGGTCTAATGGACTTAAGACCACATTGTGAAGGGGCATTCTGCTGCTACATGTCAAAATATTTTAAAAGGTAGTATTTCTAATTGTGGGTCAGCAGTGGAAGAGAATTTGACCTGACTTGAACCTAAGCATTTTGTCATGGTGCAAGGCACCACTGTGTGATCACTGTGTGATTGGTTAGAGGGCAGAGGCTGTTTGTAAAGATTGTTGGATGCACTTGGGTACAGAAGTACAAGAAAATAAAATGTCCTGTGAGTGTTTTTTAAATGTTTGTGTCTTTTCAGAGATGATTCGCTCTGCCACTCCCTTCCCTCTGGTCAGCTTGTTCTTCATGTTCATTGGTTTTATCCTCAGTAACATTGGACACATTCGACCACACCGCACCATCCTGGCCTTTGTGTCTGGGATCTTTTTCATCTTATCAGGTCACTCAGCTCATCCTCACCTTTTCAAATTCAATGCTATCCCTTTTATTCAACAATGGTGTATTCTCTTTGTCCCCTGTTCAGGTCTGTCCCTAGTGGTGGGTCTTGTGTTGTACATCTCCAATATAAACGATGAGATGCTGAACCGGACCAAGTCAAATGAGGCATACTTCAGTTACAAGTATGGCTGGTCCTTTGCTTTCGCTGCCATCTCCTTTCTGCTCACTGAGGTAACGCGTTTTTTTAGTTACATTACCGTACTGTCACACATTGATATCATGAATTTGTGGTTGCTGTATATGAAGAGCTACAAAACAAACAAACAAACAAACAAACAAACAAACAAAACAGCTACTTGTCTTTTTTGCAACTTTTAAAATACCATAGGCTTTAAACTTTAGCATCATGTACTGGCTGTGTCCCTGCAGACAGCTGGCGTGATGTCCGTGTACCTGTTCATGAAGCGCTACACTGCAGAGGAGATGTATCGGCCGCACCAGGGTTTCTACAGGCCACGCCTCAGTAACTGCTCTGACTACTCTGGACAGTTCCTGCACCCAGATGCGTGGGCGGGGCGTGGCCGAAGCCCCTCCTCCATCTCCTCCGAGGCCTCTCTGCCCATGAACTCGTCCGCCTACCCCGCCCTGCTCAAGTGTCCTGAGTACGAACAGATGTCTTCTTCTCCATGCTGAAACTCTACAGGAAATATCTTATCTGTTACTCTAAAGGGGTCGTTAGATCTTCTTTTCGCATTCTGCTGTCCAGTGATTTTAGAAAACTGTCTTAGAATTAACCTCCTTGATTTACTTCCTGTTGCAAATTTTAACTTTTAAGTTGAGTCACAGTGAAGTGGAGGGTTAGCACAATTGAGTCTATTTTCAGTTCAGAGTGAGAAGGAGCTGTTAGTGGGAAAACACGAAGGATAAAAGTGTTTTTATAGCAGCTAGAAATCTGTGATGGAGGCAGGATGAACTTCCTCCTCTGTCAACCCCAGAGCTCAGAGTACAGAGCAGAGACGGGGTTCAGAAGAGGTGAGGCACAGGGTGCAAAAGGCTGTCTGTTTGACCAATGTAATATTTGTAGAGAGAGAAAGATTACAATTAAGATTTTATTTGTCTACAAAGAATTGTAATTGTAATGCAAAATGTCAATGATTGTTAGATGGATTGTGAGTGTCCAGTCATAGTTTGCACTTTATTCAGAGCAAAGCTATACATAGTGAATAGACTATAATCAGTAGAATCCCCTGATTTGTTCTCTCTAAGTGCACACACATAGAATAAGAATCTATGGGAACAGGGGAACAAAATGCTGGCCTTTTATTTATGTATTTATTAAAGAAGTTAAAATGTATGATTGCATGCACATTTAAATTGTTTTATCTCAGAAATTAAATACATTTTTTTCTTTGTAGGTAGAAGCAGTGGAAAGGAAAAGCTACCGAGAACATTTGTTTTGGAAACGTTTAGTGACATTTTAGGAGGACATGTTATTAACTGTTTTGTTTTATTGACAGACAGAGCACTTACTTACACTGAAGACTTGTGTTAATGAAGAATGTTACTGAGAACAGACAGTGTGTTTAGAAGTTAAATTTTGGATCTAAATTTTGTACATTTTGTGAAAAGTTTAAACAATTTACTAAATACCTCAGATTATCTGAAACAGTTGATATCTTACCACAATATTTATACATTTCCTATGTATTAAATGTGGAATATAGGCTACGTACATTTCATGCAGTTATGTGAGCAGACACTAGAGGGCAGGAGGGTTGAGTTACTGTACTTGTGTACAGAATACAGAATATTTATGCATATATAAAATAATTTATCATCATCAGTTTTGGTTAATATAAAATGGTGTAATGTTTTATAATGTACAGATATTATTGCATGGTGTGAACTCTACATAACATTAAACTCACGTAACATTGTGCATGGCGCCCTGTGTGTGCAAGTAAGTGTTTTTATAATGTAAATATAGAGTTGTTTTGTATAGACAAAAGTACAGTATGAAACTTATTGTGTTTTGTGATTATTTTTAGCTTCGCCTGCTGCATCTCATTGCGAATGTGAACTTTTCCATAATATTAAACAGATGCAGAGTGTAAAATTATTATTATAAGATGGAGTCAAGTGCAATACTAGAGTATTTTATATTAAAACACAATGTTAACGTGAGCTTCTATGCCATACAACTATGAAACTATGAAACTATGAAACAGTTTGTTGATTAATAAAATGTAAAAGATCTCTTTGTGTGGTTCTTTTTCCAGTGTGTGATTAAGGTCATAAGAGTCGAGACTCAATAGTTAGAGCTGCAGACATGTCTCAGCACCCCACCCAGGAATAAACACTTTTACATTTAAGTTTCAGGTTGGAGTTTCTGCTCTTTTCTGTATCTGAAGTCAGTAATAATAAAAAAAACACACACACATGACAAGTATGGTGAACAACATTCTTTGCAGTTTTAATTAAAAAGACTCAAATTCAGGTTTACTGATGATGGGCAGAAATAAACTTTTTGCACCTTTGGCGTCAGTGAATGAGTACTCACTAGCCGTTTGAGTTGTTGCAGCGCCATCTAGTGTTGCTTTAATGGAAATACAACCCGATAATGATAATACAATATATAATGTAGTAAATATATAATGCAATATTTAATCTTTCTTAAGGGCCAAATCGATTCTGGCAACAGTAATTTCTGGTTAATTATAGTCAAATATGCGTGTTTCTTTATACCAATAAATGAATATAGAGTAGCCTTGTATTATATTGTATAATATATTGTATAGTGCCAAACTAAACAAACTGAAACACATGACACACATGAGGGTAGATTTTACGTTACTGTTTACATTGTCAAGAGTAAGGATTTAGTCTAGTCAGACGTTCATAACATGTCTATGCCACTGTACTAGAAAACTATAATCCACGGTTCTTGTGGCGACCTCTCGTGGTAGTCAGTGATTATCGCCGTCTTAAATTCATTTGGTGGTTTTACGACTCTCCAACAGTTTATAAATAATGGGTAATCAGCAACATGAGCAGTGCTCCTGTTGCTCAGTGTGGAGGTTGTGGGTCCCATTCCCTAGCAGGTCACCACAGGGTTTGGATACTCTGATTTATTGCTGTTTGCCCCAACCTCACCCATTTTACAGTTTACATGCTAAACGAAATTATGAGACTATTTAGCAGGGGGTCATTTTATCTTTTATCTTGCTGTTAGAGAATTTGAGCTCTCCTTAACAGCCTGAGAGCTTTGTTCTGGAGCTGTCAACTTTAGATTTTATCTTTTTATGTTCAGTGACGTTTTTATGGACCATTTTAAATGTTATTATTATTAATTTTTCTCTATGTGATGTTTCGTGTTGTAAAGCACTTTAATGCAGCTTATTACAACCGTTTTTAATGCTATATGCTAAATAAATAAAATGACTTTACCACACTTGACATATATTTAATAGTTTAATTAAAATGAATTGTACATGTACGTTATATCCTTGATAAAAGCTAAAATATCATTTGAATGTTTAATTTATATTACTGTGTTCAGTCCTCACTTCCTTTGAAGGTCCTATTAGACTAAACTGATTCTTGTGAGCTTTACACCATCTTATAATGCTGTTACCTTCTTAAAACCATCTTGTTTTTTGTTTAATTCACACATGTTTGAATAATCTTGATTTATTAGTTTGTCTAGATTTCTAAAGCTCAAAATGTTCTATTCCACCTTGTGATGTCATGCGGTGGCAGTTTTCAAGTTAACTGTTACAGTTTACCTATTGTTTAATAGAGATTGGCATTGCAGTGCTGAAATCATCTAAATGATTCTAATAAAGGTGTAAGGACTTTAAAAACACAGTGGAGACCTTTCTGTATGTGTACATGACATCACAAGGTGGAACAGAGTGTTTTTTGTTTGAGAGGATAACACAGCCTAAATATACATGGTTTGTGACTTAAATGTGTGTGACTGAAACAAAGCACAGCTCTATGGATGTTTTTGATCAGGAAACAACATAACCTAGATTTAAAAAATGTGTAATATTGGTCCTTTAAGTCGCAGTCTTTTCTTCTGTTGAAAGGAAGCGCTGTTTGCATTGTGAGCCAGGCCCTGGTCCAGACTAAACTGACTAAAGCCATATTTACAGGATAAGTCTGACCTAGTTTTTAGTTTACCTGTTTTTTTAGTTTTGATGGTGCATCAGAGTTTCAAAGGGGTACAAATACAATACGCTTCCATTAAAAGTAATTATTTCACAATCCTAAAATGAGAGTGCAAACACTTTAAAATGAGGTTGCCATGCACCCTTTTGCACCCCTGTAGGCCCAGGCCTGTTGTGGGTGCTATTGGTGATCAGGGTTGACACTGATCAGACTTTTTGTCCTGAATCTGAAATTGTCTTTTTTGTTTTTGTTTTTCTTTGTTGTATCATAATTATGAGCAACTCATTTGTAATCCTGTGAATGGAGTTTTGTGTTCTGATGATATAGTATATTAGTTCTAGAGGGTTAAAGGGCTCCTTTTTAATGTATGTGGCATGTGGAAAACTCATCCATCTATTTTTGCATCTCCAAGTTTACACATTTCCTCCTTGGTTTAGCTTCTCACTTGGACCCATTTCTTCGCATTCACTCCTCAAAGAAAACACGATTCAAAAGCTTTTTCCCCTCACCCTGCAATTTTGCCAAAAATCTTTCTAAATTTTGTCAAAACTCATTCTGAAGAAATAACCAGTTACTTCCTTCATCACAGGTCCAATTTCCTGTGTAAATAGCCTTGGCACAGTGGCACATACACAGAGCTTATACAGCAGGCGGCAATTATTTTCTCTGGCTTGAAAAACTGAGCATCTATTAAAAGTAGCTGCACGACAACTATGGTTAAAAACAAGCAATACAAAATAAAGTGACATAATTATTGAGTTCAAGCAGGGTTCATGTTTGGCTCCGGCTCCAGTGAGGAATCCACCAGGAGAAGAGGAAGCTCCAACAGGGTGCTTCTATTACTGACAATACAAAACCAACAAATCAGTATTATCGGCTCAGGAAAGGTGCGGGTAATGAGAGAAAGTCATGGTTTCAGTCAATTTTCCTGAGAGATGCTTGGTGTTTGTAATTGTGTTGTCATCATCACCATACTCCTGCAGCATTTTCTAAATTATTTTTTGTCTTTCTTTGCAAGGGTTGTGTTTGTGGTCACTCACATTCTGTTAGATTTTCCAATTGCTGAGTTTCAGGTAACATAACAAAAATAAATATTGTTGAAATGCAGATTTTTGTCATAACACAAGAAGTTAATGTCTTTACTTACTAATAGAAATGATCAGGTTCAACATTTGTGAATTTACCTTTAGGATATCTCATGGCAAAGTACAATGTAATCAATAGGAAAAACTGTCTCTTACTCCACAGTGGCCATACCAGCTTGTTAAAGCCTGATCCTGTCAGATCTATGAAGTGAAGCAAGGCCGGGCCTTAGTACTTGGATGGGAGACCACTGGGAAAATCAGGTGCCACACTGGGGCACCAGTGGCAAAAAAATAAATAAATAAATAAACTGTGGTTGTGTCCTTAGGCAAGGCACTTCACCCACATTGCCTAGTTTGAAAGTGGTGTGCGTGTGTGCGTGTGTGTGCGTGTGCGTGCGTGTGCGTGTGTGTGCGTGTGTGTGTGTGTGTGTGTGTGTGTGCGTGTGTGTGCGTGTGTGTGTGTGTGTGTGTGTGTGTGTGTGTGCTGTGCGTGTGTGTGCGTGTGTGTGTGTGTGTGTGTGTGTGTGTGTGTGTGTGTGTGTGTGTGTGTGTGTGTGTGTGTGTGTGTGTGTGTGTGTGTGTGAGTGATGGTTAGAAGGGCAGATTGACAGCCTTGCTTCTGTCAGTCTGCCCCAGGGCAGTTGTGGCTACAGTAGTAGCATACCACCACTGAGTGTGGAGTGAATGAATAATGCTCTGCAAAGCGTCTTTGAGAAAGCTTTTATTATTATTTTTATTATTATTATTATTATTAGTATTAGTATTGTTGTTGTTGTTGTTGTTGTTGTTGTTCATTTGGGAGTATGGCATCAACACATTCTGAAAACCACCAATTCACTTAGTGTGAAGAGTGTAAAAAAGCTGAAGTATGTATATTCAGATTATCTACAGCTATGCAAATAATATATATATTTTTTTTACTGTTTTGTGTGTTCCTTCCCATATCTTTCTGGACAATCTGCAAATGTAAGAAAATGTTAGGTAGAGAATTAAAAATTCATTTCACCCTCACTCAGTAATAGTGTACTCTTTTCATGATGCAACGTTTGGACTCCTATGACAGCCGAGCCTGAGACTGTACACAGAAACTACACATTTGATGAGTTTCAACTGAATTTTTTTTCTTCTAGTGGAAGAAATGAAGAAAAGCCTTATCAAATATTCATGCTCTTAGACAGATAATAAAATAGACCAGTCTGTGTTTTGATTGCTAATACTAAAATTTAAAAAGCCAGAAAATGTAACTTTGCTTTTGAAACATCTCAGCAGCAGCAGTGAGCCTGCGCCACCCGCCAAGACCCGCCCACTCCAACCTTTTAGTACAGTCACTGAAGCCAAGTCCATGTTTGCTATGGAGAGAGATGGACTTACTGCACTTAGTTGTTTTTCTCAAAAGATTATTTCTAACATTTAATCCATGATCAAACCATGAGTAGCCAAAGATTTAACCAGCCAGAAAATTAACCTTAAGGGTACCATTATGTCAAAATAAGATTACTCAAGTAAGAGTAAAGTATTTGGGGACACTCCTCTTCTAGACTAATAAAACAACTGCTCTGAACATCTGATGTATAATTTGAATTTGATACTTGTATTTGTAAAATTAAACGTTTAATAATGCACAACTCTGATACTTTTCAAAGGTTGTACCACAAAAACAAAATCATATCAACACTAATGTTAAAATCACTGAGTAAAGTTTTTGTCACTGAGAGAATTGGTTGGCTGGCAATGAGAAGAGTATCCCAGTCTTTTAATCAAGAATTATTACACTGTTAAAATGTAATTCAGGGAGTGAAATATGGCATTATACAAATATGAAAATACCAAGGAAGTACAGTTTTAATAAAAGTACAACCCACACATGATTTTGCCTTTAGACAGTATACAGTAATGCTTAACCTTTGATTTAGTAATAATAATTTACATAGAGACAGTGCATGTGGAGACCAGTCTGTATGGCACCATATTATAAGAAAAAACTGGTCCTTCCTTAAACCCACACAGACTGTTAACAGCCAGAGGCTCAAAGTGCAGGGCCTGACCTGGGAAAGCTTTTAGACAACTGCACTCATTTAAGAACATCAAATTGCACTAGCTCAGATTCATGTAGTCGCCCTCATTTAAGCGCTGCTGTGTGGTTTGTGCGAACTACGACTTCAAAGTGAGTTTGATGACTGTTTTGGAAAGTATTTCATCACTGCTGCAGCTTTGGCTTTTTAATTATTATTTTTTTTTACAGTACAAAGCACACATTAAAACCTCTAATCTCAGTGTGATGGCTTATAGCATGTTTAATTTATTTAACGTATGCTTAAGTAGGCCTAAAGGTTACACAGTACAGTAAATATACTAAGTGAATACATGGATGGTTAGGTCTTGTTTGCCCATAGTTTGTGGTTAGATCAAAAAGGTCCCAGGCCACATTTATTGCACAGAACAAGAACAGTCTCAGAACAATATGCATTTCTGACTCTCAGTGATTATCAGTGAAAATGACTTAACTTCAATAAAATACTTCCTAATAAATTGCTCAAGTAAGGGTTAATGAAATAGGAGCTTCAGGAAAGTTGAAAGAAAAAAGTGCTTTATTCACTTAAAAGCAATCGAGATTTTATGTTTATTTATTCTTTTCCAAATGAAAATAATTCACTTTCTGAAGTAACTAGAATGCGCACCATTAGGCAAATACACATACCTCATTTGAAACCAACATAGGCTACATTGGCGTTACAACCGTCTTGATAAGAGGTGACTTTGTGATTCTATTTTAAGCTCAGCTTTGATCTGTTTTGTCCGTGCGTATTTTCAACTCTTTCCTCGTTGCACATGTTGACGCCAGTGATGTTTTCCTCCGCAACCTGCCGTTTCGCGATTGGCTGTGCTGTGCAACAGGCTTGGAGGGTGCGGTCTGGAGGAACAGTGCTGTTTCTTCTGTCTAAGCCTTTATTTTAAATAGTAGCTAACGTTCTCCTGTTGTCTCGTGTGACATGTATCAAAATGGTCTTTTACTTTTATAATGGATAACACCTGTTGATTTAACGATCAATTTGGGAGTTAAGTCCGGGACGCGTAATTGTGGGTTTGAAGTTGATGAGAGCCCATGGAGTGATGCGGTCCACGCGCTCCTGTCCGCGCCCCTGAGCTGCTGCTGTGTACGTGGGTTTTTGTCATGGCGTGGTGTGACCGAGGGGTCCAGACGCTACTCGCCATCGTGGGCGCGTTCGCAGCGTTCAGCCTCATGAGCATCGCCATCGGAACCGACTACTGGCTGTACTCGCGCGCCTACATCTGCAACGCCACCAACGTGACCACAGACGAGACCCAGATGCAAACCAAGAAAGTGAAAGGAGATCTTACGCACTCGGGGCTTTGGAGGATCTGCTGTATAGAAGGTAAAGTGTCAAAAAATGATTAGTGATTCCTACTGTAATGTTTCAATTCTAAATGATTTGGAATAATTACTAACTTTTTAAATTGCATCAATTTAATATTAAAAATGTGGAATCACATTGGAATATCTGGCATTGTCACGTAAAATATGTATTAGGCACTTTTCTGAAACTAAAAGCCCAACAAACGAATCGCGGCTTGTTGCGCGCATTGGATGCTTTGTGCGTGCGTAATGCTTCGTTTGCATCATTGTAGCTATAAAATATTCAGCAGCGTAGAAAAGGATAAGACAAAGCTAATGAAATGGCTTACTTTTAAAACGACTCCTTCAAGCCACAGTTGATTTCCTTCTGCCCTAGAAGAGTTGTTGCCTGATTAAATTTAGTCTCCTCTGCTCTGCTGTTCTTTTCTTCTTTTAGCAGTCTGGGCTGATGTTATTGATTGTTTTCTTCTCTAATTTTGCACATTACCAGTTTCTGAGCCGCAGTCAGAGAGATCAATCTACAAACACCACACAGATATCAAGTGACCAAACTGTACGCAGAGAGACGCTGAAAACCCTGGCTGCCTGTCACTGTTACTTTGTGATTGTTTTTTATTCCAATCCAAAGGTGCACTATGTAACTTGTCTGGTTGAAGCAGGCCACCTGCTTGACCTCATGAAGACAGCATTGCTTTTCTTTGATTGTTCCACATTATGGCATTATAAAAATGTCTCCATGGAGACAAGGCACGTTTGCTCTGAGTCAAATTACAGGTCACATCTGTGGTCCGAATAAGAATGCATATTTATCCATTAGATTTGTTTATTAACAAAAATATGACTGAATGAATACGAGACAGATATGTTTAATTCCATTATGTGGAACATTCCAGGCACTGCAATAATATCTCTGTGGTGACAAGCTGGTGGCAGATTTTTCACCAGAAAACTTCAATAGTTCATCACATTTAAGACATTGGTTGCTTACTCATCTATTATTTATTAAGATGTGAATACATTCCCTAAAATTACCTTCAAAAACACTTTTTGTCATTCTTCATGTAATTTAACCAACACCAACATGCCACTGACTTACTGCATTAGTATAATATTTTTTCATACATAAAAAAGATGTCTGAATTATTAATGTGTGGAGCACATCAGAAAATCATTTTCTGTGACAACATGCAAAGTATAGAATAGGAGAATAACACAGAACAGTTAATTTTATGACATTTTATGTATTCAGACTGCAGCAAAATGGCTACAGTCTGAATACATAAAAATCAATAATTGTTCAAATCATTGCATGTTCAGAGGCAGATGACGTCTTGTAGCAGCACAAAAAGACATGAAAAGAAAAAAGAAATTGGCAAAACATAATGTTATAGTATAATTTATACTCCCTCCTACATTTCTCAGCACTGAACTATATAGCAACAATGTAAGATCTTTCAGTTGCTGACATGTGCTCAAAATGCACTCAAAAATCTTGTACACTTTCTTTTTTAAGATACGTGCTATTACTTCGCCTATAGGTTAATCAAAAGAATTGCCAGTGCCTCTCACTCCCCATGAGAGCTCCATCAGCAGTAGGGAGATGAGGAGCTCTTCTTAAACTCTGCCATCTGTCTCATGCACTTTCTGCTACACTTTCACTCTTGAAAACAAAGTAAAACAGGCTTCTCACACCTACTGTAAGTGGTGCTAAGAGCAGCCACCCTAATGGCAACTTACTCAAAAACATGTTCTGGTGAAGTGGGTCACTGGATGTTTAACAGACACTTTGTATTTTGAGAGGCTGAGAAAATATGTAAAAAGTTTGAGTTGAGTTAAAGTAAAAAAAAAAAAAAAGGCAGAACGATGTAAAATAGAGCTGTAGCAATTAATCTGAAGAACTGTACAAAAAAAAAGGCCAAAAGGCATTTTATAACAGACAGCAACTTTATTAAAACAAAAAATGGCAAAAAAAAAGAAAAAAAAGAAAATACAATATTGTAAATCTTTACGATGCAGAAGTCTTCAATTAGCACATTTTACATTTACTTGATTACAAAAGTGTATTTTAAAAGTCAGTGTTTGACTAGTTGAATAAATTATGAAATGCTAGCTGGAGTACTAAAATACTTGTTAGTTGCAGCCATTATATTTAAGTTTGGTTTCTGAATCTACTCCTATAAATACATGGCCATCTGCCAATGTCTGTTGATGACATGCTGTTCCACGTGTCCTCTGCTGGCTTTTGTTTCTTTCATATCAGCTTTGAAGTTAACATCATATCCTTTTTTTTAGTTCAAGGAGAACTTCTATCAGTTTTGCTGAGCAGCTTAGATGCTCATTTATTAATATGTCCATAAATGCACTCTATCTTCATCCTGCACAAATATAACTGGTACCACTTTATAATAACTACATCTTAATTAGCCTTAGTGAAGCAGGAAAAAAGTCTTAATTTGTAATGACCAAATAGTTTATTAAGAATGATTCAGGTTTTGTAACAGCTTCATTACGAGGTTAAGAGGGGTATTTAGTGTGTAATTAGTTTAATAAACACTTAGTTCATTATGAATTAAGTGTTGTTCATGCTAATACCAGTGTGATTATTTAAAAAGTGTTATTGTATTGTCATTTCACTCATATAATCCTTCACCCCTTGTGTACAAATCCAAAATCTCAACAGAAAAATGCCCAGAATACACTGCACTCCCAAAGATAACTGGAGTATCTTAATCTCTGCTACCTCCAGCCCTTACCACTGTTTAGTATTGCTGTTTTCACATCTTCCCTTTGTTCTGAGCTGTTTTTTAAGTGTCTTATCACTTCTAAAAATGAACAGGAAGTGTGCATAGACACGTTTCAGATCAGGTACGAGGAGTGGTGTTAATGGGCTGCACCTTGCACACGACATCGCATGCATACAATTTAACATCTTGTATCTTAGTACTTGAGCAACACTGGCATTGGGCTTTCAGAGGAAGACAAATAAAGCCTTGTTCTATGCTCAGTCAGTCGTGCCTAAACCAAACACGAACTCCCACTTAAACAGTCTGATAATGCGTTTTGAACTGAGGCAGAAGATGACATAAAGGTGTCTTTGATTGAGGTATTTGAATGGGTTGAGCATAGCAGTGGTGTTGTGTTGTGTGCGAGTGGAGTGAATCAGGCCTGTGAATGCATTAGTGAGATGTCAAAGGCGTCCTCAGAGAAGCGGGGCTCAAATGTGATTCTGGGTTGCCGCAGGAGATTGTGGGGGGAGGTTGCCATGGCAAAGGGATGCTGAGTAATAAAGATGGGCTGCAGGGACATACCTCCTCTAATGTCTCTAAAATTGAATCACTACATGTGTTTTCCTCTCAATTCAATAAAACAGTTTATTACAATATCCTTGGTATTTACAGTGTCTCAGGTTCTACACTTTACAACACTTTTAAAGGGGCAATATGTAACTTTTCTGAGGGAGGTTACATTACTTGTCTACCTGGAGGTGTTATTAATTTGTCTAAAATGTTCCACAGTACAACATTAAACATATCCATCTATTATTCATTGTTCATTCATTATCTTCAGGTGTTTTTATGCAATTTTTTTTTTTTTTAAACTTGCTGCGTAATGTGAATGGGCTCACCTCTCCAGAGATCTGGACAGTATCTTGGACTGATGGCACTACCGGCTTGTCTCCATGGAGATAGAGAAGTTTAATCCCACAGAACATTCACGATAAAACAATAATATCTCCATGGAGACAAGCAGATGGTGGACCCTCCCCCAGAAAAGTGCACCTTTTATCAGGAATATTTCAGCTTCCTGTTTATAGGCAACATTTGGAGGATTTTTCATCATTCACCAGATGCAATAGTTTGTTTTGAATTAATCACTATGGTAATGGCCCTAATTTTTCATCATTCTGAAACCCATGGGATGACACCTGCCTCTCAGATAATGCAGTGATTTGATAATTTTACCCTGGATACCCTTCTAGTAATACTTTCTGCATGTATCCAGGCAGTTAACATTAGAGATCGACTGATATGTGATGATACAGATTGTTTAGAAACCAGAGGAACTGATAGCCAATAACATCTGCTGATATTTTTGGACTGATATATAGGCAACCTTGTTTTAGTCAGATTTTTGCAGTACCCTCATAAGACCGTTCAAATAAAGCTTTAGGCAAGTATTTTTCATGCATATTTAGGCAGCTGGTTGGGCCAAACTAAATATTGGCCTCTGCTGGAGATGAAATGTTGATAGCCGATTTAGTAAAAAGTGCACATTTCCGCCTGATATATGAACCAACTGATACAATATCAATCTATCTCTAATTAACATCATACATTTTGGCTTTCTTATCCAATCATTTTGATGTAATTAAAGAAAATATCATAGAACATGTACAACCATACACAGTACCCCTGCAGCGACAGTAGTAGGTCTTTGAATACATTTTCCTGGGGGCTTTATCTTCACAATGGAGCTTGTCTTACAAAGGTCAAGAGACACAACCATTCTCATAAGTTGTCCAGACACAACGCTTAGACTGTTTAGCAAGCTTGTGTGTTAAATAAAAAAACAAAAACAAAACAAAACTTTGATTATTTTTGTTTGAATAACCAAACTGCTGTCCACCAGCCTCTGTTCTCACCCTGTCCGCCGGTCTCCCTGGCAGGTATCAACAAAGGCAGCTGCTTCCGGATCAACCATTTTCCAGAGGACAATGACTATGACACGGACAGCTCGGAGTACATCTTACGTAAGTTTATCTCCAGACGCTTCTACACCCTTCAATATTGTCCCCGTGATGATGGAGTTATCACAAGGCCCCCTAATGTGTCGTGACATGCCCGGCCCTCCCCCACACTGATGTCATATATAGCCAAGGATGGGGAGATGAGGTGTCTCTCTCTCTAGTTCAATGAATACAACGGTGGGAATTGTGGCCGCTCCAAAATTGTCCAAACTACGTGGGCTGGGTTTGTTATTACAGTTCAAACAAAATCATTTATTTCGCCTCTTGGCAACACATTGACTTTGAATTAACTCCCACGCATGCCTCGTTATCAATGGACTGTCTCGGGCTTTGTCTCATATCCGGTGTTTTTCTGTGAGCCATCATTAAACAGGCTGTATCAGTGCTGAGATATTATTGTGGCTCTGTATCCACCAATGTTTAATTAGATTGTCCAAAGGTTCATCTTCACCAGTCCCAAAGAGGACTATTACATTCGCCTGCTCAATTATTATCATAACTTTTTTGTTCTCAGTATCAGGAAGTAGCATCATATATTCAGAATAATAACTTTAACTGTAACTTTAACTGTATTCCAGTACAGTTATTCTTTCATTTGATATATCAGAATATAGTCATTTTCTGGAAATAATAGAAATACCTTGCAATACTTCAAGGGGCGACACCAGATATTTTTGGTTCAAGAAGCTATGGGGATGCGAGTGCACCCCCCACCCCCTACCATGTTTGATTTGCTGTTTTAAACAGCCTGAAATTGTGGTTTGTGGTCTGTAGTGAACATTCAATTATTTCATTCTTGTCACATTTTAGTCATTCTGTGGTTTGAACATTTTTAGCTGAGATTGAATGTCTTATGAAAATGAAATCTAAAGCTATATGGGTGCATTGTGCCCCAAAATCTATTTAATGTTGTAATATCCAAAAAAATACCAGCAGTTGTGTTTTGCATCATTTGTGATTGTTGCAGTAGCTTAATTTTACATATTTTTGTTTATCACCCTTTGCAGATTTGCTCCCTGTACATTGTGAAGGTCTTCTGTTGAGATAATCCTTACATAATAGAGCATATCATGACTGCAGCTGTAGTGTTGATGGTTTAATGTGTGTTTTCTTGTGTGGGTAGGAATCGTGCGGGCCTCCAGTCTGTTCCCCATCCTCAGCACCATCCTCCTGATGTTGGGGGGTCTGTGTGTGGCGGTGGGACGCATCTACAGCAGACGAAATAACATCCTCCTCAGCGCTGGCATCCTCTTTGTTGCTGCAGGTATGACATTATTACTGCATTCTGATAGAAAAAGAGTAGACGTTAAGGGCAAATGCATTTATTTATATCCTGGAATGTGTTAAAGGGACCATACTACCATATTTTCCGCACCATAGGGCGCGCTCTTAAGCCTCCAACCCCATGAAAAAACGACTGCACGCCCCGCAATCCAGAGCGCCCTATACACGAATCCACTCGGGTATCCCAGCATGACTTCAGTAAATTACAAAGCCGCACCACCCGCAGCACTCGCAAACATACACGGAGCAGACAACGACCGCACAGCGAAACACACCCGCAGCCACACTCATCACTCCATGCGGACAAGGAATGGAATGGAGGAACGAATCGAAAAAGCGAGTGCAATGTGCCACTTCTAGCCACAGCTGAACAACTGAGTCACTGCGAACACGCCAACAATCCTGCGGTCCCAGACAGCACCCTCCCTACACGCCACAATGGAACAACACTGAGAGTCACCGTGAATGCGCCAAACAAAGTTCGACTGACCCATCTAACTGTTGTGTTTCATTTCAAGTCCGGTGTGGTTTATTTGTGAAAAAAGTTCGAACATAGACCATTCAATGACAGTGCACCTTATAATCCAGAAGGCCCTGTAGTGCGGAAAATATGGTACTCTATTTTCTGATCTATGTTATAATGTTGTTTCCTCATCACAAACAGACCTGGACTTGTGTTTTGTTTCATTCACACAAACCCTGCATATTTAAACTGAGTTATTCTCTCCATCAGAAAACACTCTGTTCCACCTTGTGATGTCATGTGGTAATACAGGAAGTGCTCCACTGTGTTTTTAAACTTCATACACCCTCACTACAATCATTTGGATAATTTCAGCCTTGGAAATGCCCATCTCTACTGAACAAAAGGTAACACTTCATGATATCACAAACTGGAAAGAGCATTCTGAGATCTGGAGATGTAGGCAGACTAATAAAGAATTATTCAAACATTTGTCAATGAAACAGAACACACCTCCAAATATGTTTTTGAGGAGGTAGCAGCATTCTAACACAGCTTAAAGCTTACAAGAGTCAATTCTGTGTCAAATGGACCAATTCCTGAGCAACAAACGTGATATAAACCAAATGTTTTTCTCTGTATAGTGAGGTATTACTAGTAGTGTCGTAGTACTTGAGACCGGCCTCGAGACAGCTTTTTACAGACTTGGTCTCATCTCGGACTTGACCGCATTTGGACTCGGTCTTGTCTCTGTCTTGAAGGTGCTTGGACTCTGTCTTGTCTTGGTCTTGAAGGTGCTTGGACTCGGTCTTGTCTCAGTCTTGAGGTCTGACACTCGACAAGTGATAAAATGGAGCTAGATTTATAAAAACATTGATATATATTTATGCCAAAATAACTGTAAAATACAAATAAATGTCAAAAATTACAAAGATGCTCTTGAATTGGTCTCGATGGGCTGTGGTCTCTGTCTTCTCTTGGTCTCGACCTTTAAAAGTCTTGGCCTCGGCATGGTCTCAACCCACAGATGTCTTGGACTTGTCCTGGTCTTGGGACCCTGTGGTCTCGGACAGGTCTTGGTCTCGATTAGTGCGGTCTTGACTACAACACTAATTACTAGTATAGTGATTGATGTCTGAGTAGAGTGTCACGTGTTAGCATGTTGCCTAGCATGGTTCTGCACCTCTTATTCCCAATATGCTCATCGTTTTCTTACAGCCTTCCCACATCCATCCATTTTCTCTAATTGGCAGCGACACATAGTTGATATTCAGAGGAAAGCAGAAGGTGAAAGGGTGGAGGAAAGGTGTGAATGTTCAGGAGTTCTTGTTAATAATCTCAGTCAGAGCTTCCTCCTTGAATTACAATGTGAAGAGCTTTTCACCTCCCTGTAACTTTAAATACACACCCATGATGTCAATACTGTTTCACTAACCGCCAGTTATTGCTCATTTATTTGCTTTCACTTTGTACATGCACATATAGAAATATTCTGATTCATACCTAGGAGTAATTATGGGATCCATGTCTTATCGGGGCAGTTATGTCAAATTCTTAGGCAGATATTTTGGTTACATTGATGTATTACAGCAATTAAGTTCTAAGTTCAGTGAAGTGGATAAATGGACCCTGGTATATCAAGAGGGGTGTTCAGCAATGCTAATGAAATGAACTGTGCAAACATTTTCTATAGTAACATAAAAAAGAGAATGTGTTGATATTACAGTTTCAGATGAGAGGCAGAAGTTTGTATTGTTTTATTTAAAAATTGACCAATATTTAAAGGACTTATACTACGGAAAATTGACTCTTGTGAGCTTTGAGCCATGTTGTAATGCTGTTAAACATACTTGAACTTGTGTTTTCCTTCATTCACAAGTGTTTGAGTCAAGTCTGTCTACATCTCCAAAGCTCAAACTACTCTGTTCCATCTTGTGATGTCATGAAGTGGTGGACTTCAAGTTAACATTTACCTTTTACCTTTATTTCAGTAGAGATCAGAAATTCCACGGCTGAATTATCCAAATGATTCTAGTGAAGGTGTAATGAGTTTACAAACACAGGGGAGCACATCCTATATTACCTTATGACATCACAAAGTGGAATGGCTTCTGTCTGAGAGAAGAACTAAATATGCAGGGTTTACGTGTTAAACATGTATGACTGAAACTAAAGCCAGCTGCAGGTATGTTTTTCTAACGTTCTTTCTAACTAACCACACTTGACTCTTCTAAATTAAAGGTGCCCTATGTACATTTTTGGTGGTGGTCTGTCCCACTTTGCCTGGAATTTTCCCCAATATGGTATTAAACATGTTCATTTATTCAATTACAGGTGTTGTTACTGAGAAAGAAACTTGGAAACATGCACTTATCTTCAGTGCTATACTATGGAACATTCTTGTTAAAACTATAACAGAGGAGACATGTGGCCAACCAGGAAAGTTACATCGTGCACTTTTAAACACAGCTTTCTGTTATATGTTTGGTAAAGTTTTATTCTCTCTTCAGTTTGAAGCTTAGTCTTAGCTTTTTCTTTCTTTTTCTTTTTACCTCCTTTACATGTTTCAGCTCCTTCCTGTAGCTTTCCTCAGAAGCATCATGTTATGGTGTAGGAACATGTCTTGTAGGCTGCTGTAATTGGTTTTATAATATTAATATAATCTTTATTTCTAAAGCACTTTTAAAAACAAGGTTTACAAAGTAAAGTAAAACTGTACAGACAGCAAAAACAGTACGGAAGCATAAAAAAGCATACAGAAAGTGTACAAAAACAGACAAAGAGGCAGATCAGTTAACACAATAATCAAAAATAGGAAGAAACAATTAAATAAATGATAATACATAAATTAACAAAATCTAATTAAATTAATAAGTCAAACTAAAACCAGTTAAAGGAAGTCCAAATAAACAATGAGTTTTAAAAGAAGTTATTTAAAAAATTGTACTGATGGTGTAAGCCTTATCTACTCAGGCAGGTTGTTCCAAAGCCGAGGCGCTTGGACTGAAAAGACTTGATCGCCATTTGTCCGGAACCTGGACTTTGGAACAGTCGCAGGGACCTGCCTGAGGATCTAAGGCTGCAGGAGGGCTCATACGTGATTAAAAGTTCTGAAATGTAACTTGGTGCAAGACCTAAAGGAGCTTTAAAAGTGATCAGTAAAAAAAAAAATTCTAAAACACACAGGCAGTCAGTGAAGGAAAGCTAAAACAGGGTAATGTGTTGATATCTGTTAAAAGCAGATCCAGATGAATTTGGTGGAGAGGAGGGAGTTGCAATAGTCTAAACGGGAGAAGATAAGCGCATGGATGATTTTTCAAGATCAGGACTGGAGAGGATATGGTTGATTTTGGTAATTGTACAGAGCTGGAGAAAACAAGATTAGGTGACTTTTTATGTGAATGTGAGTCAAAAATTACACCAAGGTTTCTGTCAGCAGGGGTGATGTTGGGAGCAAGAGGGCTGAGACTATTGCTGATATGGGAGGTGGACTGGGGAGGACTGATTATAATGATCTTGGATTTGGAGCTGCTGAGGTGTAGGATGTTCTGTGCCAACCAACTGTTCAAGTCATTGAAGCAGTTTAACACAGCAGCGAGGCTCCCGGGATCATTTGGTCTCAATGGGAGGTAGATCTGTTTGTTGTCAGCATAGTAGTGGAAGGACACATTATGGCGGGCTATAATATGTCCTAGGGGGAGCATATAAATAGAAAATAAAATGGAACCTAAAGTACAACCTTGTGGCACACCACAGGTAATGGGGGCAGAGGAGGAGGTAAAATTGCCTATAGTGACTGCAAAAGTTCTGTCTAAATAATAGGAATAAAACCAATCAAATCCAGTGTCTCGGATGCAAACCCAGTTTTTGAGGTGGTTCATTAAAATTGCATGGACAGCAGTATCAGAAGCGGCGTTTAAATCTAAAAGAATTAAAATCAAGCACTCTCCTCTGTCTGCGAGTACAAGAAGATCATTTGAGACTTGAGGAGGGCTGTTTCACTGCTGTGTGATGCTTTAAAACCAGATTGAAATTTCTCAAAGATGTGATTTCTATTCATAAAATCTAAAAGCTGGTTAGAAACAACTTTCTCTAAAACTTTGGATAAAAACTGAATCTTTAAAATTGGTATAAAATTATTCAAATCAGAGATGCTTAAATTTGTTTTTTTTTTTCTATTGCTGGAGCACAACATGTTTAAAATGGGATGGGACAAGGCCTTCAGACAGAGACTGGTTGTTAATAGATAAAATACTGGGTTCAACCACACTGAAAATATCTTTGAGGAATTTGGTGGGTATGACATCCAGATTGCACATGGTCACTTTCTTGTGGGATAAAACATCAGCTAAGGAAGAAAGGGAAAAAGGAATAAAATTAGTAAAACAATTAAAATCCAGAGCTTCTTTATTTACATAGATAGATCTCTTGTGTGTCATAAGGTGTATGCTCCGGTTTATGCTCTTTGACTTTGTGGATCTTGACGCCCTCTCTGATCCAGCTGTGGTATTTGTTACTTTTGGAATGATGACCCTAGCATTGTTCCAGGCCATAATTTGATTTTGTATCTTGCAATGGTTGGACATGGACGATTTCAGATTTTCCTGTTCTGTTTGTTATTTTATCTGTTATAGGTTATGTCTTATAGCTTGATTGATTGACAATTCAATTATTATTTTTTTGATTTAGGTCTGAGTAACATCATTGGCATCATCGTTTACATCTCCAGTAACGCCGGCGACCCCAGCGACAAGAAGGACGAGGACAAGAAGAACCAGTACAACTACGGCTGGTCTTTTTACTTCGGGGCCCTTTCCTTCATAGTGGCCGAGTCTGTGGGAGTGCTGGCGGTCAACATTTACATCGAGAAAAACAAAGAGACCCACTTCAGAGGCAGACACGAGTTCATCAAAACCACCTCATCCTCCTCGCCATACTCCCGCATCCCAAGTTATCGTTACCGTCGGCGACGATCACGCTCAAGCTCTCGGTCCAGCAACCCGTCGCGTGAGCCGTCTCCAGTTGGGATGAAGACAGGAGGGGTTATGGGGATGGGGGACATATCACTGTACTCACTCCCCCGGGACACTTTGAAGGGAGGGGGGAAGAACTCAGGCCACTACAGTCCAGAGCGAGAAAGAGAGGGCTTTCTGCAAGTCCACAACTGCTTTCAAAAAGACCTCAAAGATGGAGTAAACAGAAGGACCACGCCAGTATGAGTGGTGTTTTACCCACCTAACAAGCACCTGTAGGTCTCTGACAGTGATTCATGGAGATGTTTTAGTAGGGTTGAGCAATTATTCACATTTTAATCAAGATCTAGATTCAGCCATTTCTAGTTGTCAATTATATGCTTGAGTCTTTTTAATCAGGGGATCAATAGCCAGTAAAAACAGCCAGTAAAAACATGTGGTTTGGAGAAGAAACAGTAAAAGTCTGCCTTGTTTATGTTCAGGAAATAACTATTGAAGGCAATGTTTTTGAATATGACAAAATTGAATCAAATAGAGAATAATGAGAATTTTTAAGTAATAATGCCCTGCTCTGTTTGGCTACAGGAACTACATACTAAAATAATTTTTGACTGGACATTTATTTAACCTGGAAAATCCCACTGAAACATGAAGTTTCTTTCATACTGAGAGAAAAAGGACCTTACACATGCATCCTGAATTTCGCACTTACGGTCATCATGCAATGCACTGGGAAGGATCCTCCAAAAAAGTGAGCATCAAACCGCCACGTTTGATTTCCCAGTGGGATGTGTCTATTGTCAAAGCCAATCTTTTCAAGTCTTTTGAACCATATCGCTTTTGTTTCTGGTTCTGATATTGTCATATTTTAGTTATGGGATTCGGACATCGTAATTGTGTGGTTGTTAGATGTCCTAACAGCGGACAATGGGCTTTGCAATCTCCAAAAATGCAAAAGGAAATCAGATCTGTGTGACTGCAAACCTCTGTTTCCCTTCCCAAAAGAATGGAAAAATAGTGAAATGCGAAGGCGATGGGCAGTATTGATACACAGGAAGGACGAAAAAGGTAACCTTTGGCTGTCTAAGAAATCATCCCGATTTTGCAGTGAAGACTTTGTATGTGGAGCGCCATCAAAGCAAAATCCCAATCCCTTGCTCAACCTTAGTTACGAATTTAAAAAGTCACTGCTAGGGATGTCCCCATCACATTTTTTTGCCTCCGAGTCCGAATAATTTGATTTTGAGTATCTGCCGATACCTGAGTCCTGATCCGATACGTCTATAAAATTATTAAATAAATTAAGAGCAAAGAATAAGATCCAGGATGTGTGGGGGGATCAGATTGTGTTGACTTCAATGTATAGTATTTGGGCTGAACTTATGAAAAATCAAATGTCCAAAACTTAAATTTTTTATTAACTTTTCTAACCATGCACCATCATTGTTCAAAATCTTGACTTTTCACAGTCTGGTCTTGGAATGTGTAACTTAGTAAACTTAATAAACTGGACAAAACAGGAACCAGACCAGAATCAGATTAGACCTGAGACTAGACTCTGCACAATCTACAGTTTGTATGTTTGATATTATATGGAAGCCTGTGCATTCTGTTTTAAACATTTAGTCTCGTCTATGAAATCCAAATAATACAAAATCTTATCAAATAAAAACGAGATGACAGAAACCCCACAGCCTCTCTCCCCCGCCCGCCCCCACTCCCCCACACCGCCACTACATCCACAAACCCACCACAGAGCACGCACTGCACCATCGGTCCCACCGCTCAATAGACACTTCCTGCCGCTTTTCCCACCCTCTCCGCCAAAAGTGCCAACTCCGTTGCGCAACATGCAAACAAACAGCGTCGTGTGATGACGCCATCGGCCGTGCAGGTGTGAACACGGGCCACAGAACCCCAGGTAACAGCGCCCGAGTACGGCACGGCCCAAAAGTCTCACCGAAAGTGCGCCTCTAGTACAGCAGGCGCTGGGACAGACAGTCGCGCTAACTGGACGTCCCTGAGTAAATCCCGCGTCTCAGTAAAAAAAAAAAAATCATCTCTTGTGTGTTGTGTGTCCTGTATGTTATATGCATATATTATTTATCCGATACCTGATCGAACCATAACGGCTGAGTCCGGATCGAGTCCGCAGTCACGTGATTGGCGCCGATTTCCGATCACGTGATCGGATCAGCACAACCCTAGTCACCGCTAAAGCGAAAGGCATCAGCTGTTCGCCAAGAAACATCTTTCACTGCAAAGCGACCAAGACAAGATGTTGCTGTAAAGCCAGTCGAACAAGAAAGTGCAGGCTCAGCCTGCTTGTCTTCTGCACCTCTCGTTTAACAAATGGGATTTTGCTTTGTTGGCGCTCCACATACAAAATGTTCGCTGCAAACTTGGGATGATTTTTTTAGGTAGCCAAAGGTTACCTTTTTCATCATTCCTGTGTATCAATACTGCCCATCGCCTTCGCTTTTCACTATTTTTCAATTTCATTGGGAAGGGAAACAGTTTGGACAAAGGTTTGCAGTCTGATTCCCTTTTCTGCAGTTACAGACTTTGCAAATATTCAAAGCCCATTTTTAAAGCAGTTTCCATGGTTCGGACATCCAACAACCACACAATTACAATGTCCGAATCCCATAACTAAAATATGACAATATCAGAGTCAAACAAAAGCGATATGGTTCAAAAGACTTGAAAAGATCAGCTTTGACAATAGACACATCCCACTGAGGAATCAAACATGGTGGTTTGATGCTCACTTTTTCAGAGGATTATTCCCAGTATGCATTGCGCGATGACCGGAAGTTTGAAATTCAGGATGCATGTATTGACTTTACATTGTAAAATTGTCACCCCTGCAGTGAGCCTCATCACTGTGGTCTTAAAATGTTCGTATGGAACTCAGCTTACATGCATCCTGAATTTCGGACTTCCAGTCATTGTGCAATGCATACTGGGAAGGATCCTCTGAAAAAGTAAGCCTCAAACTGCTATGTTTGATTTTCCAGTAGGATGTGTCTATTGTCAAAGCCGATCTTTTCAAGTCTTTTGAACCATATCGCTTTTGTTTCTGATTCTGATATTGTCATTTTAGTAATGGGATTCGGACATTGTAATTGTGTGGTTGTTGAATGTCCTAACAGAAGAAACAGCTCAAAAAATGGGCTTTGAAAGTTTGCAAACTCAGATCTGCGTGATTGCAAACCTCCATTCAAACTGTTTCCCTTCTTAGTGAAATTGAAAAATAGTGAAAGGTCGAAGGCATTGGGCAGTATTGATACACAGGAAGGAGAAAATAGGTAACCTTTGGTTGCCTGAGAAATCATCCCAAGTTTGCAGTGAAGATTTTGTATGTGGAGCGCCAACAAAGCAAAATCCCATTTGTTAAACGAGAGGTGCAGAAGACAAGCAGGCTGAGGTTGCACTTTCTGTTTCGACTGGCTTTACAGCAACATCTTGTCTTGGTCGCTTTGCAGTGGAAGGTGTTTTTTGGTGAACAGGTGATGCCTTTCGCTTTGGCGGTGACTTTTTAAATTTGTAACCAAGGTTGAGCGAGGGATCAGGATTTTGCTTTGATGGTGCTCCACATACAAAATGTTCGCCACAAACTCAGGATGAGGATGAGGATGACCAAAAAGGAAACCAAAAGGTTTCCTTTTTGGTCCTTCCTGTGTATCAATACTGCCCATTGCCTACGCATTTCACTATTTATCAATTCCGTTGGGAAGAGAAACAGTTTGAACAGAGGTTTGCAGTCACACAGATCTGATTCCCTTTTGCAATTATGGGGTTCGCAAACTTACTAAGCCCGTTTCTCGAGCCCTTTTCCACTGTTAGGACATCCAACAACCACACAATTAGGATGTCAGAATCCCATAACTAAAATATGACAATATCAGAACCAGAAACAAAAGCCATATGGTTCAAAAGACTTGAAAAGAATGGCTTTGACAATAGAATAATTCCCACTGACATGATCACTTTTTGGAGGATCCTTCCCAGTATGCACTGCATGATGACCAGAAATCTGAAATTCCGGATGTATGTATCGGAGCAAGAGTCGATAGAACCGAGAGTGCCCTCCATGCTCAATTCCTGTTTGGAACATAGTGGTAGTAGCAGGTTAGAAATGTCCATATATATATATATATATATATATATATATATATATATATATATATATATATATATATATATATATATACAGTCTATGAGGCCAACACGTTTTTAGTGGTAGGGGAAACTATACGCAAACACAGGGAGAACATGCAAACTCTGCACAGAAAAGCACCACCTGACCTTTTTTGCCACAGTGCCGCCCAAATAATCATTCACATTCACTTTTCCCAGGTCAGTATGAATGAAGGGCACTGCTTGTAGCTCCACAAAAAAAAACAAAAAAAAAAACTGAACAACTGAGTTAAACAAAGAAAGAGAAAACTGGATTTAGGCAATCAAAAGACTCTTTCTATTGTTGTCGTTTTAAAATTACTGTGGACCACTTGTATGTTTTGTGTAAACAATATTATCTAACTTGATTACAGATTTTTGGTTCAGATGAAAGCCATTCATTACTGCATTTTTAAATCGTCAACTATGCTTTAATGTTACTTGTATAATGTGTTGTGATTTCATACTTTGTGATCTCCCACTTTGTTTTCATGTTTTGTGGACTTTTTAAGACTACAGGACTTATTCTGTAAATACCTACTATGTTTTTGCCACATATTTTCCCAACTATAATCCAAATATTAAAGGTTGTATAGAGGATTTTCCAAGGAACGAGAAATCCAGCGACTGTTTGTCCTTTTTCAAATGTTGCGCATGCGTGAAACCACCCCCCCCTCCCCTACAGCTCCCTACGTAGAAACGCCTCCTCCCGCCTCCTCCTTACGCCAGAAACAGGTTTGTTTACAGCTGGTGCGCTGCACATGACTTGTAAACAACTAACTACAGTGTTGGTTAGGCAAGGCGGAGAAGTGAGGAGCGGGGGGAGCGGGTGCGCGGACATTTCGTGCGCAGACGAGAAGTGAGGAGCAGGGAGAAGAGCGGAGCGGGGAGCAGGGAGAGGAGAGAGGAGAGGGGAGCGGTGCGCGGAGATTCCGTGCCCGGAGAAGTGAGGAGCAGGGGGAAGAGCGGATCGGGCAGCGGGGACAGGAGCAGGAAAGGGGTGCAGAGAAGGTTGCGCGGAGATTCAGTGTGAATGAACTAGCTACAACACGCAGCAGCAAGCG